TGCCGTGTAAGCACAGAAACCTACATCTGGTGCATGTCACCCACATAAAATGACAAGCATAGTAGCAGGAGGTTGTAATCCCCTAGGGAGGCAAATGAGCAGACCTCTGACACTTACTGGCCAGGCAGTCTAGCTGGCTTCATGAGTTCCAGGCCAGTGAGAGACCCACTCTCAAAACACCAAGGGGAATGGCATCGTTGGGGTGATATTCAAAGTTGATCTCTAGACTCCATACACATGCATACATACTAACACACACACCAGAGAAATTACGAGTAAATAGCTTAATGACACACCTCAAGATCTTAGAAAAACATGACCAAATCAACCCTCAAATCCCTAGATGTAAAGAAATAGTGACTATCAGAGCAGAAAATAATGATATAAAAATGAAAATACAAAAGGATTAACGAAACAGGGTCAGATCTTGACCTTATAAGCAATATTTAGAAAACAAAAGGAAGTGGAAGAAGGTACAAATTAATAAAATTAGACAGGAAATGAGACATTTACAACACATACTAATGAAACTCAAGTTACTAGGTCATACTTTGAAAATTTACATTCTAATACACTGGAAAATCTAGAAGAAGATGGATCAATTGCTAGTCATATATTATTACTTATTAAAATTAGGCTAAGGTGATATAAATAACTTAAACATATTTAAAACAGCTAATTATATTGAATTGATAATAAAAAAGTCTCTCAATGGAAAAAAAAATAAACCTAGCCCAGAAGTTTTCAGTTTAATATTGTAAAGAAGAAGTAACAACTGAATCTTCAAATTGTTTCATACATTGTTGGGGGATATATGATTACACTGTGAGCCCTGAATTTGCACTTGCACTAATTAACTAAAATTAACCTTGGGTCAAGTGGCTGAGTTAGCAACTAGTTGACAGGAAGTAATCATATAACACCAGAGGGCATCCGGAACAGATAGAGACACATCATAAGTAGCAGGGAGTGGGAGGATTTGTTTGTTTGTTTGTTTGGTGGAGCAGAAGGACACTGTCTTTCAGAGACACCAGCAAGAACAGAAGGTTAGCTAGGTGTTACTCAGCCTCTCTGAGCTGGCAGGTTTTCACCCCAGCCTTTGAATCCGAGTCCTATTTGTAAATAGAATGATAGAGATTTAGTTAAAACTATCTTTAGTAGCAGCAGCAGAGCCAGTACCTGGGGGAACAGAATTCCCACCATGCTGTAGCCTGAGTGTCTGGGCTGGTGCCAGAGAAACAGGCTGACAATTGCAGTCACAATTGTTGGTCGAGATAGCAGTAGATTAATTTGCAGTCAATGTACTGAAGATAAAACGACAATACATTAGTAAGTGAAGGAATGCTACTGAGTTCTTTTTACAAATCCAGTATTACTCTGACTCCAAAATCAGATAGAGACACAGCATTGAAAAGAGAAAAGATTACAAGCCAATTTCTTGATAAATGTAGATGCAAATTATTAATAAAACACTTGTAAACTGAATCTGACAGTACATCAACAATGACTATGTGGGCTTCATTCCAGGGACGCAAGGATGGTTCAACATATAAAAACTAATAGAGATAATACATCACATTAGTAGACTCAAGCTCAGAAGTCCCATGATCATCTAGATGGATGCAGAAAAGTGATTTTACAAAGTTCAACATCCCATCCTGATAAATGCCCAGAAGAAAATAGGACTAGCAGGAACATAATTTAGCATAATAAAACCCATATATGAGAAAACCAGAACCAACCATGGGCTGTCCCCACCGTCTTTGCTCCCCCACCATAGTGAGATGGTAAGGTCCTACTGCTGAGGATACCACTTACTTGGAATGCACGACAGAAAAACTAATCTTGTTCTGATCAAGAAACTCTCCTTGCTGTCTAGCTTTCATAATGTCAGAAAGTGTTGTGCCAGCTGCTGGGGGAGAAAGACATCTTCATCCAGCACTGGACCCTGCATGCTACAATATAGAATTGCCAGCTTAGATGTGCTCACTGGGGCATTAGTGGCATACAGGTTACAGGGGTAGACAGCCCTCAAAACCAACCATCTGATTGGATATGAGGCCTGCTATGCAGGAAAGATGCCATATCTGGTACTTTAGACTTAATCAAAAGCCCCTGACTAGGGAGATCAGGCCCTGGAAAGAGGGGAACCTATTAAATGGCCAAACTTCCAAACTGCATTCTAAATGTACATTTACATTTTTTATTAATGTGTATTTAATGTGTGTGAATATTTCACCTGTGTGTTTATATGTGCACCACATGTGTGCCTAGTGCCCACAGAGGCCATAAGAGAGCATCAGAGCTCCTGGAACTGGACTTGCAGACAGTCATAAGCTGCTTTGTGGCTGCCAGGATCTGAACACAGGTCTTCTTCAAGAGCAGCGTGCGATCTTAACTGTGAGCCATCTCTACAGTCCCCTAACTATGCATATTTATACCCACTGATTTGCACTGCTCTCAGCTTGGGTTGGAGAAGATTCTTCTTGTGTTGGGTTGTGGTTAAATGCAGGACAATGCTGAAAATAAAGTGATATTGAGAGCTCGACCATAGATAGAATGTCTGTATGAAGCCCCTTCCCCTTTCCAACTCCACACCCAAGGACGGGCTTCAGGAGAGTATGTGGCTGTCACACACACACTTAGTACCTGTGGTCACCCACACCAAACCATCATAAGATCAAGAGATCTAACAATTCTAACGTGAAGCAGGAACTGGCTGGCTCCTGATGTCTCACCCGCGGCTGAGGAGATATGACAGCTGATGGCTTCTGAGGGAGGTAAAGCCACTTTCCTTTGTGTGGCAAGTGGCTTTTGGTAGATTGCTCATGTCCCAGTGAATGACCCCATACAGTGGCACATACGTGTAGAACTAATTGGAATTTGTAGATTATTAACAAAAATCACAGAGATTGGGTAGAGATGCAAAATATGTTTGGGAGATGAGGGAACAGAGGGAGGGGAGAGGGAATGGGTATAGCTAAGATACATTGCATTGCACCCATGTATCAAAATCTTTAAGATGTACAAAAGTTCAATTAGACAAGAATAAGAAAAGTATTTTAATCTTTGAGTGTGTATGTTCATGTGTTTGTATGTGGGGGTTGCAGACTCAAACCTGCTTATTGGCAGCTGGGGGACAGCTTCTGCGTTCCTTCTGTTTTGTGTGAGGTAGTGTTTGGTACTTGGGACCAGTTTTTAGTTTTCTAGTGGGATCCGGGTGGCACTTCCTTCATGGAATTTTCACCTCATCTGACAAACTACTGTGCTGAGCAGTTTATCCAGGTCCCCATGAGCCTCTCTAACACAGCTGTCTCTTGTGACTGGAGCACTTCTGTGATACCGGCCCCTCCTCACCCAAGACCCCCAGCCCTATTCCCAGGAAGTCACACCATTTTTGCTTTATTTCATTGGCCAAAGCAGATCACATGTAGCTTTGGTGGTGGGGCCTGGACCCCACTCATGGAAGAATGTTGATTCCCTGCTTTAAAATTGTAGTGTGACATTTCTTCCTCCACCTGGCTTTCCCCTCTGTTCCTCTTCAGTTCCTCTTTGCCTCATCGAGTGTCACCTGTTATCTTTGGTTTGGGGGTTCTGGCACACACTGTGCAACTGTGTGTTTGCTACAGCCCCAGGAAGTAACTCCAAATGTGGGTTCACCACGAAGCAGAGCTCCAGGTGCCAATCCCAAAGATGTGAGGAGAAAGACAGCCAACACAAACCACCATGGCTAAATTCATTAAAGCAAGCTCTTTTATTCCTGTGTACAGGCTGCCTCTCCCTGGGGTGGGGTTCAAGAGATCAGCATTGGACATGTGGGACGAGGGTTTCCAAATGGGGGATTTGGTGGGTTTATATGATTGCATGGTGGTCATGACAACAGGTATTCTTAACAACATTTTGAAACAAAGGTAGGATTGCAAGATGGTTATAAACAACTTTTGAAACGAAGACATTGCTGCTGTTTCCTGGAACAGGCAGCACAGAGCCATTTGTAGTTAAGGTTACAGGTAGGGCACTGCCCAATCCTTGAGAAACAGAGGTTAATCACAAACAGGAAGAAACAGTTTGTCTTTACCATAAGGTGGCTTTTACACTTAAGATGTAGGCAGGCTGGTTCATCACAGCCTCTGAGCAGATGGAAATGGCTATCGTGTTTACATGATTAAATGATGGTAATGCCTAAGATGTTCTAACCACTGTCAGCCAAACTGTCTTCGTTTTTCACTCTGATATCACACTTCTCCTGGGTCAGGTGGCATTAGAATGGATGTCAGCATTCCGGGCATCCACACAGAAGGAAGTTGGATTAGGGACATGTTAAGTCTGGGATTGGATGGATATATTTAGTGTAGAAAGTTGCTCATGGCAACCCTGGCATAACAATGGTTGCAAGGAATAACCCCATTGCATAGTGTGTCAACTCCTTTGACACTGAGGCATGAGGCTAGAGGTTGCATTCCGGAGCGCATGTCTCCAACTCTGAAAGGACATGGGTGTGGAAGGAGGCAACTTTTTAAATGTAGTGAGCCAGAAAAACTGAAACGTGTCTATGAATATGAGAGACCACATTTGAAATAGAAAACAAGCCTCTCAGGACCTGTGAGGCAGCTTAGCTGTCACACACCTGCCATGGTGCATGCCCTGACTGTCAAGTAAAGAAATGTCATAAAATTTTTTTATAAAGGAAACAAATCTCCCCCTGCCAGGCCTTGAGTGTGTGTGTGTGTGTGTGTGTGTGTGTGTGTGTGTGTGTGTGTGCCCTGAAAGTTGAGGTGATGAGGTTTTACACTGAGAAGGGGGTTCAAAGGTTGAAGGGCATTGTGTCTAAAGAGAAGCTGGAGTGACAGAAAGGGAATAAGCAAATTCCGGGGTTCTATTGTGGGAACAGCAGAAGTCTTAATGGCTAAGACTTGGCCAGTGCCAGGCAATCTAGAGCATCTTTTAGGCTTACAGAAGAAAGTTTGGTTTAGGAACAAAGGCCTGGAGCTTCTTCCAGCTCAACCTTGTATCCAGGAAGACAGGCCTGCAAGACACAAGGGTAAGGATGGAGACGCTTGGCTTCAGTCACCATAGCAACCAGATATTTCAGCTAACTGTTGAGAGCTGTCATGGGAGCCTAAAGCAGGTGACAATTAGTGCTCAGCATGTCAACCCATCCGATCCACAATTCCAAGTGGGAGCCCCACTTGGAAAGGTTATGGGGTCACAGGCTGTGGAAACCAGTTGCTCCTGTCTGTGATTTCTCTCGTGGGTCATTACATTTCTTTTCTAAGAACTTACTACTTTCCTAATAACAGTTTTGAGTGTGTCCACACTGCTTGTGTGCTTATCTCATGAAAAATTCCATCTACTGGGCACACATATAGCTGTGGATAGTCAGGAAGATGATACTTAAGCTGTATCATTTCGATAAACAGAAGTAACACTAGGATATTTTACATTACTCTGACTGACGTAGGATTGATTCTCAGATACTTTAGACTTCAGAGCAGATTCAAAGCAGGCTGGCTTCCCTTGAAGACAAAACACACAAGGTCACTTTCCAAGGTGTCTCTTTACTGATTCAAAGCCGGAGCTTGAAGCAACTTTGGTCTGCACATCCTCCCTGCCACTCGAGGTCCAGCTAACTAATTGTTATTTTAAGTCTTGATTTCCAGTGGCATTTCCCGTCTGGGAGCCTTCACTAACTCAGAGCTCCATGCATGGGCCAATGTGACATTCCTAGCCTGAGAGAAACTACATGACTTACCATGTGTCTTGAGAATGGGTTGGGCCCTGAAAAACAACTTATAATTGTCCAGAGTTTGGCTGTGAGAGAAAGAGAAGGCAGTGTGTAAGGAGGCAGCAGCGGCGGTGTGGAGATAGATAGATCGCTGTGTAGGACCACGCGAGAGGATGGAGGGTGTGTGTGTGTGCTGAGTGACAGATGAGGAAGAAGGGGCGTGAGAGAAGTACCAGTGACAGGGGAGAAAAGGAAGAGGGTAAAGGAAGCGTGCGTGAGAGAGGGTGGGTGAGGGGCACGTGAGAGTGGGTGTGTACGCAGGGAGATGAGTACACGAGGAGGTGATGTAATGGATATAGACATATGTAACTGGGCAGGAGAGGGATGTGTGCATCTAAGCGAGACCATGTAAGCTGAAGTGAAGGTCACCCTCAGGAAAGTGCTTTTTCCTTTTTTTCCTAGGTTACCAGCACAAAGTGTGTGCTGGTTTATTTTTCCCTCAGGAAGAAAAGTCTAGCAACTCTCAGATCAGAGTTTTTCCCAAGTGCCGCTACTCTGAGGCTTTCTATTTATTACCATGGATCTGGGAGCAGATCTGGGAGCTGGCCTTCCCACATCACTGCCCTCTGCTCTCTCGCTCTGCCTTCCTCCTCCCTCACTGCAAGAAATATAAGCTATTTTTTTCAGAGTCCAACCCATTCTCAAGACACATGAAAAGTCTCAGGCTAGGAATGTCACCTTGGCCCATGCATGTAACTCTAAGTTGGTGAGGGTTCCCAGATAGAAAATGCCATGGGAAATCAAGACTTAACGACAACAATTATCTAGCCAGACCTTGAGCCTGAGACTGGAATTATGCACAGACTAAAGTTGTGTCAAACTCTGCCTTTGAATCAGCAAAAATAACTCCTGGGAGAAGACCTTATGTATTTGTCTCCAGGGGAGACCTGGCTGCTTTGAATTTGCTCTGGAGTATAAAGTAGCTGTCTGTGTAAAAGGCTGTCTTTGTCACTGAGAATCCGACGTCAGTCTGAGTAATGTAAAATATCCTAGTATTATTTCTATTCATCACAACTATACGGAGTAAGCATCATTTTCCTGACTGTCCACAGCCCAGTAGATGCAATATTCTCTTGAGGTGAACACACAAGCAGTGGGAATACACTCGAAGCTCTTATTGGGGAAGAAATGAAGTGATGCATGAGAGAAATTACAGACAGGAGCAACTGTTTTCCACAGCCCGTGACCTGGCCTTGACAAATGGGGCTCCCCACCAGGGAATCGTGTGTCTCATGGGTTACCCTGCTGGACACTGTCACCTGCTGTACACTCCCAGAGCAGCTCTCAGCAGCTAATGAAAAGGGATGGGGTCATTTCCCATCCTCAGGCAAGCAGGGAAACCAGAAGTGCTGGGCTCAGAGTAATCACACCCCTGATTTATAGCACTTTGTTCCTGTTGTTTCAGTGTGGTAACCATGGCAGCCCACATGCTCCTTCTCTGAGTTGATCTGAGCACTCCTGTGTGCATTCCCACTACTCACCTTGGACTTGCAGGCTCCCTTTAAAACTGCCTCCCTCCTATCCTCTCTTTCCCATTTGCACCTCCAGGACTTCTCAGGTCTTAGAAAGGACTGATGCTCAGATCACTGTTTAGACTTAGTAAAAATGCAGGTTGGGAACGTTTAGCACTTACGTTTCTTTTTACAGATGTCAGCACAGACACTTTCACTTTGGAAGTTGTTAAGGTTCCCTTGGCAACCGCCATAGATGAATTCAGTACAGGTCTCAGTTTCTTTATTATACCGCCATCGTGGAAGGTAAGCCAAGCAGGGGCCAGCATCCTGTGGCAGACTGCATACATCTGTGGGGAAATCATGGGAGACAGATGTTTGGATGCCTGTCTCCTAGAAGGCAACCCCCCCTCCCTCAGTCCACTGTTCTCTTTGTCCAGCTCAGGGCTGAGCTTCCGGTTCAATGGGAACTCTGATGTCACTTCAGCGTCGTTGGTCTTGGCTTCCTCATCTGTAGAATGATAACACAAAGCACTGCCTTGCTTGTCAGGATAGGAGTGTCGCAGGAGCAGATGTGGCCATTGCAAACAACTCTTTCATTGTCTCTCCTCAGCCATCTGAACCACGACTTAGTAATGATTTTGTGTCATCAATGGCCCTCCTTTCTTTCCTCTCTGACAGGAATGGCCACCATCTAGTCCAAACATCTCCAATCCACTGGACATCAGGTTCCAGAGTAACTGATCCACTAGCTCAGGACAAAGTTATCTCCCCAAACCAGAAAGTCCATACCCTCCCTCTCCACAGTCTCTCTCTCTTGCTGCTGCTAACACTCATCCTCTCAAATGATGCTTGAAAGTCACCCTGTCCCCTGCCTCCATGCCTTCACACTGCTCAACTCTAGAGCTGCTCTTGCCAGCAGGGCACTCTCCTATTCATTCTCCAAACCCTTTCAGCAGCCAGGTGTGATGGCATTTGCCAGGTGTGATGGCATTTGCCAGGTGTGATGGCATTTGCCGGCTCTCCCAGCACTTGGGAAGCCAAGGCAGGAGGACTGCAACAATTTTAAGGCTGCCCTGAGCAGTGTGGAAGACCCTGACTCCAATTTCTAAACACTCCCAGGTGTCAGCGCCTTTCTGATGTCTCCTGAGTCCATGCATCACCCTTGATTTTCATGCATCATTTTACGTCTGGGATGAAGATTTATGGTGGGTTTACCCATATTTTCTGACTCCTGGAGAATGTGAACTCTTCATGGGCAATGACTATACCTTAACCTGGTACAGCAGCTCTGAGCAGATCATTTGGCAAGGAATGGACTTTTCAGGAATGTTCTCAGAAAGAAAAAAAAAAGGTGGGGGGGGGAGAGAAAGAAACAAGGAAAGAAACTAAGATCCCCAACTTAAGCATTTAATAAAGTTTTGTCCAGGGGTTTAGCATTTGACACATGTGAACATTTCCTCTTGTGTGGCAGCCTCTAACTGTTCTCATTGTGCAGGTAGAGGACATGAGACTTGGAGAGGTGCAGTGACTCTCCTGATGTCCCATAGCTGGTGAGGGAGTTCAATGTAGATGACCTACCTACCAGGTATGGTGGTCCAGCACGCTTAGAACCCCAGGCTTCAGATGGCTGAGGCAGGAGGATGTCAAGGTTGAGGTCAGCCTTGATTCCCTGGTTCAGCAACCAGAACCCAACCAGACCACAGACAGGGTTAGGATCACATGGAAGATGGAGTCCAGACCCCAGAGCGCCCTCCCTCGTCCACTCCCCCTTCTCTGCCGGTCAGCATCTCCAGGCCTGATCATATGTCTCCTAACACAGGGCCTTCCCATGAATGCTTCTCCCTGTGTTTGCCTGCACAGTACCCATCCTTCAGATTCCAAGTCCTATATGCCTTCCCCAGGAAAAGCTTTGGTGGCCACAGTGAGCAGATGGAACCCATCATGGGTGTCACAGGCACCGTAAATGTTTGTTGATTGATAAAATGGGTGAATAGTTTTGGTGGTCTTTTGTAGAGCCCAAGGATGTGAGCAGAGAGAAAGGAGTATTAGAGGCTAAACTGATGAGGGCAGGCCTCCTAGGTTTTATGTTAGTCTGAGGCCTGGACTATCAAGCCAGGAAAAACCCTACACCTGCCTCAGGCTTATCCTGCAAACAGACATGCTGTTGCTGCTTAGTGAAACTTTGTAGTTATTTGGCATCTGGGAACAGCACCTGAGAGCAGCCAAGTGGCCACATGATTAAGTAACAATATCTATCTTACAAAAGGGGGAACTGAGGTTCAAAATGGAAAGGCCGGTTCTAGATAAAAGACGCATTAAGAGCACTTACTGCCCTTTCAGAAGAACTGGGTCCATTTCCCAGCACCCACATGACAACTCATAACCATTTATGTCACCAATTCCAAGGGATATGGTGTGCTCTTCTCTCTTCCATGGGCATGGTATGCATACATACATACATACATGCAGGCAAAACATTCATGCACATAAAAATCATAATTTTTTTTAAAGAAAAGGCGATGTTGTTCACTTCATATACTGAAATCAAAGAAAAAAAACGGAAAAGGACAGTGTCCCTGTCCAGCACTGTCAAAATCTTCACCAGCCAGCTGCCATGAGAATGTTGGTGAAACAGTAACCACCAGCGACCCAGGAGAAGGCGCGGCAGTACTAAGACAGGGGTCAGGAGTTGTCCCGGGGACCAGGTAGGTACCTTCACTGGGGTCCACGCACTTTTTCCCGCAGGCGAACATGCAGCATCTCTTCTTCTCTGGACAATGTCTGACTCTTGTACACTGGCTTCTTTCTTCAATTTGACACTTTGCTCTGACTTTTGGGCATGATTCTATAGCAAGAGAAGGTGTGTCCCTTGAGGTGTTGGAGGACATGATCTCCCGTGTCCGGGCAGCACTGCAGAGCTGAGGAAGCTTGTCTGCCCCTCAGCTGTCACTGGGACCCGGGAACCCTCAGGGTTTCACAGCACAGGCCTCAGCTCCACTGTAGGGACTCAGCACCTGACACCCAGGACCTTCCCTAGCCCCTCCCCCCAGCACCTATAAGATTCCCCACCCCTTTGGGACTGCTCTGATCAATTAATTGGCTTTGTCCTTGGTTGGCCCCTGTAGCTCTCACTGTTTGCCTGGATTGTGTCCTGAAGGTAATGCAACAAAGTTTGAAAAGCCTTGGTCAAGACGCCTGAGCTAAAGCAAGCGATTGATATAAACAAAGCACTTACTGAGCACGTGGCCTTTCTCCTTCCTCCTCACCACACATTTCCGAGTTAGCGCTCAGTGATCCACAGTCAACAGAGGCATCCACAGCAAGGGGAGGCTCTGTGGACATGCGCAGGCCACGCAGCTACCAAGGAGTGGACCCAGAATTCCCACTGGGTCACGTGGCCTCCTAAGCGCTCACGTTCCCCACTACCTTCATGTGCTCAGTGTGTTTTAGCCGGTAAGGATGAAGTCTCTGAGCTTCTGCACTGAAAGGACCCTGGAGGCTGCTCCTTACCACACAGGTAAGGTCCTGTGTGGATGCGGGACAGCTCTGGGGAGTTCAGTGGTGGTGAAGGGAGAGGCTCATCCTTGAATGGAAACCCTGTTGGCTTTTTAGTTCCCAGTGTCCATTTAATGCACCGCAGTGCCGGCACCCCCATGAACAATTCCTTATCAGGGTGGGGAGTAACTGCCACAGACCCAGGACATCTTTCCGGGGTGATGGGAAAACAATGATCCCAGACATCTCACTCCCACCCGGGCCTGGGGCTGAGGTGTGAAAACACTCCCATGTGCAGCAGACTTTGTTCTTTAGCCCCAGGAAGTTTCTTCTCTCCATGATAAGAACTGTACCCCAATACTTACTGGCAAAGAACCCCTCTGCTAGCGGAGGTTCCCAGATGCCCCACAGGAAGATGAAGGGGACCAAGAATGGCAGAAGTCCCCAGAGTCTCATTTTAGGAAGCAGTAGCTTGGCTAGAGGCATTAAGTTGGAAGGAGCAGGTCAGTGGCTGCAGCCTCTGCTCGTGGCTCTGTGCCCCAACCACCCAGGAAGCAAATCTGGACAGGAGCCAGTCATGTTCCCTCCCGAGGCCATCAGTGGCCTTGCTGTACCCACAGTGCACACAGAGGAAAGGCATCTGGCTCTGTGATCCGGGCCTCTGCAATCTGAGGTTCTCTGCCTCTCTGGCCTCCTAGGGAGAGGGGTGTGCTTGCTTGGGGCCTTCTAGGATCTCTTAGCAAAGTTATGTGAATTCTAGAACCTTCCTTTTCCCAGAGGCAGTCTGGTAATACTTAGTGCTTTCTCTCTGTGATTTCTCTCTTCTTCAGTGCTTGTTTATATTTTCTCTCCCATCCTCCCCCCTTCCATTCTTTCTTCCTCCCCTCTTCCCCTTCCCCTTTTTTCCACCCTCTCTCTTTCTTTCTTTTTATATATATTATTATTTTTATTATTTTTTTCTTATTTTGTGTATTGATTCCACTTCCCTCTCCCTCCCTCCCATGTCCCCCCAACTCCACAGGCAGGGTGATGCCTCCTAGGAGGGATCAACAAAATCTGTCATGTCATTTGGAGTAGGGACTAGGTCCTCCCTACTAAGGCTAAGGGATTATCCCTCCATGGGGAATGTGCTCCCAAAGTCCTTTTGTGCACTAGGAATACATCCTGGTTCCACTGTCAGAGGTCCCTTAGACTGCCCAGACCTTCTTTCTGAGACCCACATTCAGGGGGTCTGAGTCAGTCCAGTGCTGTATTCCTAGCTATCAGTCTGGGGCTCCATGAGTTCCCCCCTCGTTCAGGTCAGCTGTCTCTGTCCACCTCTCTCTGTTTCTTGAGACAGGATCCCATCTGCTCCAGGCTGGTCTCACATTTGCTGTGTAGTGGAAGACTGTTTCCGCATCCACCTCCCCAGGCCTGGGATTACCGACCTGCATCCCGGGGATGGGGAGTTAGCTCAGTGTTAGAGGGATTGCCTAGCAAGCACAAGGCCCTGGGTTCGGTCCTCAGCTGTGGAAAAAAAAAAAAAAGACAAAATAACAAAAGAGACCAAAACAAACAAACAAACAGAAGACAGACCTGCGTCATCTCACCTGGTTTGCGTGGGGCCGGGGGCTCCATGCACGCTGGACAAACACTAGACCGATCACGTTCAGTCCTGCCTTGGCTGCTTCTTGTCCTCATCTCTGTTTTTACCCTGTGCCTCCCCCTCCTCCTTTCCAATGGCTCTGCCTGAGCCTCTGTCCTTACCCTCCAAGTCCCTCTGCCTTCTCCCTCCTGTCTCCGGCCCACTCATCTTTTGTCTCCATCCAAGGGTAAAGACTGTCAGCTGAGCACAAACCTAAGGTCCCTGGTGAGCGTCTGGGCAGGCCATGGTGTCTCACAGACAGGAAAGGAGTGGCTCTCAGGGCCTCTGTCACAAGAGCAGGTTAGCAGAGGCCAGGGAAAGCAATGCTCAGAGCCAGCTGCAGGAGGGACCAAGTGGCTCTCTGATACTTCTGGAATATTCCCTCAACTCAAATCTTGGAGCCCTAGTGAGGGAGTGGATGCAGTGTGGACACGTGTGAGCAATGCAGGGGAGACTGAGGCAGGGAAGGCTGGCTGCAGCCGGATACACTTGACTTACCAGGACTTCATCTGAAGCTGTGAGAGACATTCCCATGGCGTCCATGTTGAAAACTGGTAGAATTCCTCCAGATAAAAATGCACCATTTTCAGGTCAGCAATATGGAATCTGTCTTCTTCTTTTCTTAGTACATTCATGTGACTGTGGGTCATAACTACCCATTCCAAAATGTTTTTACCAGGCTAGCTGAAATCCCCGGTTCATGAGCAATCTCTCTCTCTAGCCTCCAACCCACTCCAGCCCCTGATACTGTTCTATCTCTGAGCTGCATTCCTAGGTGTCTCTCTCTGCCTCTGTCTCTCTCTGTCTCTCTCTGTTGCCCCAGCTGGCTTTGAACGTGTAATCCTTTTGCCTCCTGCCTCCTGAGTATGTGTTATTACAGCCCTGAGCCATCATGACCCAACTCCTGCCCTGGATATGTCTTCTATATGGAGTCACACAGTAAGGGGGGGGGGGGTCAGAAGACAATCCCCAGTGCTCATTTTCCTCTTCTACTGCGCTTGAGGCAGAGTCCTTGCAGTTTGTTCTGTGTTATATATTCTGGGTCAGCTTGCCCATCAGCTTCTAGGGGACCTGTTTTTCACTCCATCTTACTGTGGAAGCACTGGCCATACAGTTGCATGCATTATTTCATCCAATTTCCCATGCCTTCTGAGGGTCTGGACCTAGGTCCCTATGGTAAGTGTTTTATCTCCTACCTTCAGCCTCCGTTTCCCCAAGTATGCCTTCCATAGAAACCAAGCAAAGAAAACACAGTAAGCCTTGATATCTTTGTGTGTCATGGGGGTCACAGTTAATCAAATGTGCTATAGTTTTCAAAGTTGCTGAGAGAATAGGTCTGGTGTTCTCACTACATACAACGGTGTCTGAGATAATCTTGTATTAATTATATCTTGAATTGGCCCACAATGTACACTCCTCACTTACCATTCCACCCCATAAAATGCACAATTATCACCTACCCATTAAAATTTAAAATTAAAAAGGGAATGTGTAAGATGTTCCAAAAGGAAGAGCTATATCACAATAAAGAAAAAAAGGAAGCAAATGTCAAGAAATGAGAACTCTATAAGAAAAGAAAGGCGAACTACATCATTGAAACTGTGCAAAAGCAAAAACATTCTCCCAAACACTGAAAATTAAAGACATTGTTTTATGGAAACTATATGAAGGACTTAAAAGTTAAGTTTCTTGGTGGCGTTCCAGACACATTCTTTTCACTTGGAATCTTAGTTCTAGGCTGGACAGCTAAAGGCACCGTGGCATATCATAGGCTTGTCTCTTGAGTGAGACAACCTCTGAACCCCTCAGTCTTTACACACACACCCCAGTGTGTATGCGCATGCATATTCATGTGTGCACACAGGCAGAGGACAACCTTGAGTGTTGTTCCTCAGGTGACCCCCGTTTTTCCTTTTCTTTTTCTTTTCTTTCTTTCTTTTTTTCTTTTTCTTTCTTTCTTTCTTTCTTTCTTTCTTTTTTTTTTTTTTGAGTTGGTCTTTCTCTAGTCTGGAACTCACCAAGTAGGCCAGCCTACCCCAGGACCCCCTATCTCTTCCTACCCAGGTCTGGGATTACAAACAAGTATGTACCACATTCCTGCCCCCATCCCATGGGCTCTGGAGATCGATCTGTGTACTCAGGCTTGCAGGCCATATGCTTTACCCCGAGACAGTCCTTGGCAATTCTTACCCATCTGCTTCCAGATTTGCTTCCGTGGACCACATCCTCTAGAGAAAAGCTTTGAACTGTCCTTTTGTTTGGAACCTGGAATTTTCCATACCCCAGTGACTTATGAGAGGTAGAAATATGTTGTTGTCATTTGTTGTTTTGTTTGGTTTTGTTTTCTGAGACAGGGTTTCACTGTGTAGCCCAGCCCTGACTGTCATGGAACTCACTATCGTAGACCAGGCTGGCCTTGAACTCAGAGATCTGCTGCCTCTGAGCCTCAGGAGGCACAGGCCTCCTGAGCCTGTGCACCACCAGGCTTGGCTCAAGACATGGTTTGTAAGAATTAGTTCATGGGAGAGGGGGTGCCAGTGAGATAGCTCAGAGAGAGAAGAAAGCTATTATCACACAAACCCCACAGCCTGCACTTAATCCCCAAAATTCATACATAGGCGAAGGAGAAACCCAATTGTACAAAGCTGTCCTCTGGTCCCCCACATCCTGTGGCATGCACTCCTAGCCAATCGTAATCATAATCACAATAAAACTAGAAGAGCCCTTCAGACTGTAAGTCCCTTAACTTCAGGAAGAAATACAGAATCCACACCAAATGTCCCCATGTCCTTCTGTGTGTTGTCTGGCAGATCTTCCTGTGTCTGTAGGGTTTGTATACCTTAACATGAACAGGAACAATCTTGTCAAATCCATTTTTTCTTTTTTTGTAATTTTTTATTTAAATTAGAAACAATCTTATTTTTCATATCAATCCCAGTTCCTTTGAATCCTCCCATGCCCCCCCACTGACCTCCCCAATCCCACCCTCATTCACTCCTCAGGGAGGGTGAGGCCTTCCAGGGGGATCATCAAAGTCTGTCACATCATTTGGAGTAGGGTCTAGGCCCTCTCCAGTGTATCTAGGCTGAGAGAGTATCCCTCCATGGGGAATGCGCTCCCGAAAGTCCATTTGTGCACTAGGGATAAATACTGGTTTCACTGCCAGAGGCTGAATAGACTGCCCAGGCCTCCTAACTGACACCCATTTTCAGGGGCCCTGGTTTGGTCCTATGCTGGTTCTCCAGCTGTCAGACTTGGGCCCATGAGCTCCCCCTTGTTCAGGTCAGCTGTTTCTGTGGGTTTCTCCAGCCTGGTCTTGACCCCTATGCTCATCACTCCTCCCTCTCTGCAACTGGATTCCAGGCGTTTGGCTCAGTGTTTAGCTGCGGATCTCTGCTTCTGCCTCCATCAGCTACTGGATGAAGGCTCTAGGATGGCATATAAGGTAGTCATCAATCTCATAGGGGAAGGGCATTTAAGGTAGCCTCTCCACTATTGCTTAGATTCTTAGTTGGGGTCATCCTTGTGTGAAATCCATTTTTCAAATGAGTGGATTGAAGTAAAACCAGGCCATGTTGAACTAATGAGTTAATAACAGGGCCAAGACTTGTGTTTTCATCCTCATTGCCCCCCAACCCCTATTTTTGAGACAGGGTCTCTTGTAGCCCGGGCAGGACTAACCTTTTATATAGATTTGGATTCCTGATCCCCCTGCCTCCACCTCCAGGGTTCTGGGATGACAGGTTGAGGTCATCACACCAAGTTGATATGAGGCTGGGGATTAGACCCAGTGTTCCACCATGCCAGGCAAGTTCTCTGTCAGCTGAGCTACACCCCAGCCCAGTGTTTATTCTGTTATAACTCCATTATGTCTGGGGGCTCTGGTTTCCCTTAGTTCTGCAACAATGCACTGGGCAACTCTTCAGTAGAGTCTGCTTGTCCCCAACAAACCCAAGTCTCACAGCACCTTCTTAAAATTTACTGGAGTATTTTGCCTGTATGAATGAATATCTGCATACTACATGCATGGGTGGTACCAGAAGAGGCCAGGAGAAGAGTCAGATCTCCTGGAACTGGAGATACAGATGATTATAAGCAGCTCCATGACTGAAGGGAGCCAAACACAGGTCCTTTGAAGGGGCACCTGGTGCCAGCTCTTACCTACCGAGTTATAGTTCCTGCCCACCCTGACATGATGTTGGCAAATGAATCCCTTCCAATCAAAACAGACTCATTATGTGCTAAACTTCCACCCCCCAAAACACGCAGAGCATGACCAGTTAAGTAAGCAACAAATCATTTTAATATTCCATATTCCTTGTATCCACAGTAACGTATGTTTCCTAGTAATATAACTATGTCCCATGGGAAGACTGTACATGGATCTCTTTTCCCATCATGCCTATCCTGGGAACCCTCTGTTCTAATGACTGGCTACAGGCTAATCTGAACAATTAATTCTCTAGACTGGGTTAATAGACATAAACGGGTTAAATTTTAAACCAAAAGAATTGCTGACGCATACAGCCTCAGCTTCTGTGGAGCCCTGCAATCTCTGACTAGGGAACTTGAGCTCATGGGGAAGGAGGACTTTTGATATTTGCTATTGCTGCTTGTCTCCTGACAAGTGTGTATCAGGACACTCCCATCAGTATGTGTGTGATCAATTCTCTGGTCATGGGTAGTTGTTTTTGTTTTATTTTGAATGGAAAATGGAGGTTTGATGAGGCTAAATGGCTGAGCTGAGACCACATGGCTGGTAACATGGTGAGCCTAGAAAAACTCAAGTCTAACTCCAAATGCAAGTTTTCTACCATTCTATCTTGGTTCTATATTGACACATCAGATTTTCACACTGTTTTATCTGTGTTCCCACAACAAGGCTGCCTGCCATGCTAACTGTATTTTCCCATTTTATGAATGAGGAAAACTGAGGTTCTAAGTTATGCTATGGGTATAAGTGACCAAGACAGGGCCCAAATCACGATTATTGGCTTGGAGTTAACATTCCCATTACTGAAGAGTCTGCAGGGGTGGGGGCATCAGAATTATTTCAAAGGCAGAGAAGGGGGCAGCAGCTTCTGCAAACTGGCATACTGTTGCTTCAGGAGCTCTGGGAAAGATGCTCCAACCATGGTCACAGCTCCTCAGGCTCTGAAACTCTTCAGGTAAGACTCACGCAGGCATCTGTTGCATCAGGACATCCCTCCTCTTTCCTTCCCCCTCCTCCTTGATGTTTCTGAAATGTGTTTACCTGGAGTGAGCTATAGACATCACTGGGCCATCTCATCTTAAAGAAAAAAAAAACACACTTGGGAGGCCGTGGATCATCAGGTAAAGGCACTTACCTAAGTTTTCCCGCTAGAATTCACAGGAAGGAGAGAACAGATTCCCAAAAGTTGTCCTCTAACCACCACTGTGCACTGTGACATGCCCACCCACACACACCCACTAAAAATTTAAAAATACATATGGGACATGAGGAAACATGATGAAGCTGGTACTTGAAAGGGGGATCATCCTTTTGTCAAGTTGTCTGCATGAATCGTAAGATGCTAGAGTTGTTCGGAGCCAGAAAGAATGAGAAGAATCTCTTTGTTAACAGACGGCCATCTGGTGTGTTTGTGTGCGCACGCGCAAGTGTGTGTATGTATGATTGTGTATATGTGCCTGTGCTATTCTGAGGCACCAAAACCCTGTCCTGCCTGCCTAGGTCTCCAGACAACCTCATGCTTTCTGACCCCTGTCATCAGCAGAGCAGAGCAAACCCAAGAGAGCCGCCCAGTAACTGTCCCGAAGGAAACCCTGTGGTGATCCAAGTGTGACCTCTTGCCCAGAGCGAGGCAGTGGGAAAGCACAGCACCGTGGCCAAGGATGGGGGTCACGAGAGGCCTGAGGTGACTGACCCAGACCTGTCTTAACGTGCTACCTCACACAGATCCCTCCCTTCTGGCTTCTGGCTCCGTTTTCTCACCCATGAAGTAAGTGTGGCTGGGAAGCCTCTCCTCACAGACTGTGCTTCCCGCCGCCATGCCTAACTCAGGTCCCTGTTCTCCCCTCACACAGGCACCTTTCCCTCCACGGCTCTGCCTGCTCCTGGAGGAGCGGAGCTCTCCTGTTCCTGTTGCTTCTCCTCCTCTTCTTGGAGCAGACTTCGGCTTCATACACCATCAAAGTCAAACGTGTGTCATTCATTCTTCCTGGGAGTGCTCTTGGGGACTGTGGGCTGGAACGAGGCAAAGGCTTGTGTTGGTTGACAATGGCTGGATTCAGGGTACCAGAGAGTTACCTCTGTTTCCTACTCTACGGCTTTCTCCACCTGTTTACCCCAAATTATTTCCCTAGCTTTCCTCAATATGCATCTTTAAATTGTAAAACGTAATTATTCATTATGCATGATCTGAAAATAAGAGGGCCAGGGAGGATGCTGTTGCAGCAGGGAAGGTAAGCCATGGCCATGGCGGGAGGCCGGTGTTACTCTGAGGAAGGGGCAGCAAAGAAAGATGGGGGATGGCTGGCGGTAGGGAGAGGCTTAAGAAGCAGAATTGACCCGGATCCTGACTGGGTCCAAATCTGGGGTTGGGGAGTAGTGGTAAACCTGTGTTTTCATTGTAAACCTGTGAATTGTTGATGGAGAGCGGAACACAGAGTGCTTTCGGCCTGTGAGACACAGGTTCTGTGATAAACACATTGAAACAAAGGCCCTGGAGAGCCTCTGGGTAGCTTTTCCTCAGATAGCTGCCAACAGAGGTCTTCGGTTCAGGATAGAGGATGGGCCTGGGGGAAAGATACCAGAACCAGTCAGAACCAGGGGAACGGATGAACTCAGCCCGGAAGAGGCCAGACAGTTCAAGAGACAGCTGAGACCAGGAAATGTTCAAGAGTCCTCCGGTGTGTGCACACAAGGTAAGTGACTGAGGAGAGAGGTCCAGGGAGGAAGGCGCGCTCAAGATGACAGGCTGACGAAAGTGGGAAGAACAACGTACATTAACAAACCCACGCAGAGGTCTAAGTGTCCCCAGGAAGCAGGAGGAAGGCCGGAGTCAACACTAGTAAGGTGGGGGTTGGGCTTCATAATCTCGAAGGTTCCCTGTCTGTGCCTTTTGATCGCTGTGAGGCGATCCCATGTTATTTGCTTAGCTTTTCTTGTGCTTAAATACAGCATCCGGATGCCTTCTTTCAGCATTGCGTGGGATATCTCTATAAAACAGAGCCACCCAGGTCTTACTTTCTAGAGACTCAGGTTTAGTTCATCGTTCATATTTTCTGAACGATGCACAAATGAACACTGAGGATGGAGAGAAGCAGCCTTAGCTTCAGGCCATCCTTGCTGGGTATGTCAAGAGTGGTGTGAAGGGCAGGAGGCATGGCGGGGGGGGGGGGTGCTCCTAAAGTGAGCCTTGCAGATCCCAGACCCAACCTCTTCCCTGTGTCATCCTCCCTGACATAATCCTGTGATACGAAGAAGCCAGGAGGCTGCCACTGACATGTAGGCCTTCTCTTCTAAAGTTTCATAGCTCCAAGACCCAAGAAGGCCCTGCCTCCTTGATTGATTGTGGGTGCTCAGTTTAGAGCTGAGGAGCCCTGAATTAGTCACCCGCTGCTATAAAATCTGACATGATGCATCTGGGCTCTCAGATGAGAGCACGGTGCCAGCCAGGGCTGCTGTTCTCATCTGGAACTCTGGGTCCTCTTCTCGTAGTATAATCATTTTCTTACAGTTTCATGTCTGGGACGCTTGTTTCTATAGTGATGCCAGCTTCTAAAGGTGACACTCACTTCCTGATGCTTGCCTTCTGCCAGGGTCTAACTGCTGAGTTAGCATGTTGGAACCTTCCCACAGTTTAAATATCCCCAACTTCTCTGCCAGCCAGAAACCCCTGCTTTTAAGTGACCCTGTTGGTTGGGGGTGGTCCAGTTGGATTACCTCTGTCTTAAGGCTAACTGGGTTAGATTTGAATTGCACCTACAAAGTCCCTCACAGCATGCCTAGATTAGCGCTTGATCCAATAACACAAGATTGGGAGTATTGAAGCACAACTTTAGAATTATGGCCACCACAGGCCACAAAACCAGGAAGTCATGCCATGCACTTGAAAGGAAGGAAGCGACCTCATAACTTTCCAGATTTGACCCAGTACCACAACCACACACTGTAATGTGTGTATTGTGGGCATCATCCACTCCGTTCCTATGAGCAGACTCTAAGGTAGGGATCACCATTCTCATCTTAGAGACGGGAAGCTTATGACTCAGACAATGAAACGTATTTTCAAATATTATTTGTCTAGTCAATGATGGAGCCAAGCTAGCAAGACCGGTTCCGTCTCCTGATGGTATTTCCTTCCTCTGTCTCACACACCATGTTTTCTCTCTTAGAGCAAACTAACTTAGAAAGCCCTGTAACTGAACTCAGACAGGTCCTGAGTTTGCACAAGTTGCCAGGGACCAAAGTCAGGACTCCTGGCTCCTCTCCTCCTTATCAACCTCCCTGCTGACTTGGAGCTAGAGGGAGGAGACTCGAAGTCATCAGGTCACAGGCTGCATTGTCCCCACATGCATTGGAATCCAAGATGGCTTGTCTTCCTTCAGTCACCGGAGCACAAACTCCAGATTCAGCTCTGTCGGAAGGAACCAAGTGTGGAGAGAGACAGATGTGGCCCCTAAGTATAGCGTATAGCGTATAGCGTATAGCGTACAGCGTATAGCGTACAGAGAGGGAAGAACTGAGAGTCGGGGAGATGAGAGGCGCGGTCTTCGCAGCTCACCTGTGCCATGGGGGAAGCAACTGAAATACTCAAGGGTGCCAGTCTGGACGTCTCTTTCTTGCAGGAAAAGTGGGCGAGTGCCCCAGGGAGCGGTTGGAATGTGAAGATAGGGTCCCGAGCTCGTGCATAACAGACTTCAACTGCGAGGCTCATCTCAAGTGTTGTCCCTTTGCCTGTGGGAACCTGTGCATGGACCCTTATGAAGGTACTGGCATCCAGGTGGGAGGCAGAGCCCTTTAGAAGTTTGCCACTTCCTGCCATGTCCAGCGCTAGCCAAACAATCCTCGTAGATGGCAGGACCTCCCGCCAGTGTGTGCCTATCTCATTCTGTAATTTAACTCTCTGTGGTTAAGCTCAAGTCATGAGTCCAAGTAGTTAATATTGATGCTAGATTTCTTTTGTGTGACATTCAATCATTCACCAATAACTAGTGCCTTTTCTGTGTCCACTATGTGTTAAAGCTATTGTTGGAAAAGTCAGACTTCATTCTAACTATTGTTTGAGAAGAAGCATTCATCAACCCAGATGCTTGAATCATTTTGGACCCGCTGGTCTTTAAAAGGGCTTCCTAGAAACCCCAAAGTGCAGGGACCAAACCTTTAATAGAGATTCTTTTCTTCTTTCCTTAATTATACAAATATCTAATTAATATATTAGGATAGGGGCCAGGCATAGTGGTGCAAGCCTTTAATACTAGCACTTGGGAGGCAAAGGCAGGCAGATCCCTTTGAATTCCACAACAGCCTGGTCTGTATAGGGGGACTCTTGTCTCAAAAAGACGAAATAAATGAATATACATATATACATACATACATACATATATATTAAGATAGTATTGGCTCTTCATACGTCAGAGTTGAAATTGCGCAGGGGACATGAGGACAGACAGGGAAACAGGGCTCGGGTAGGTGAAGAGACCTGTGTACCTGATGTGTGGAGGAAGTGTTTAAAAACCCAAGCTCTCTGTCAACTCAAAGCCATCTGAGGTCAACTTTTGCCTTTTGCAGCCTAAGACTACCACAGATACACTTGTTGAGCAAATTGGGTTGATTACTCATGGCCATCACGAAGAATGTTCATCACAAACAGCCATGAGGCATCCATCTCAGTAAAGATCTGTTTGAGTCCGTCAGAGGATTTGGGTAACTCGGAGAGGACTAGAGAAGTGGCTGAATTGGATATTGTCCAAAAATGGATTAATTCTATGGCTGAGCATCTATGGCTCTTATGTCTAAATAGTGGTTCTTATGTCCAAAGAGGACACTTAGGATGAGGATGGCTTGCCCTCTCAGAGCTCAAGGCACTCAGGAAGAGGCATCTGCTTCAGAGTGTTTCTGTATGCTGTTTCTAATGTACTCTATAAGAAATCGGTGATGCACAGAACTGCACAGCATCAAGCATTTGCTGTAGAGCAGGATTAGACAATGTCTTTTAAAAAGATTTGCTGATGATTTATGTGTGTGGTTGTCTTGCCTGCATGCATGTTTGCTGGTGCCTGTCGAGGTCAGAGGAGGGTATCAGATCCCCTGGAACTGGAGTAATAAACAGTTGTGAGCTACCATGTGGAGCTAGGAATGGAGACTATGTCTTTTAAAAAGAAAAATTGGGGCCCTGAAGAGATGGCTCAGCAGTTGAAAGCACTTGCTCTTGCAGATGATGTGTTCAATTCCAGGAGCTCTGTCTCCCTCTTCTGGCCTCAGAGGGTACTGCATACACAATGTATATACATACCCGAAAGCAGAACACCCGTGAAGAGGGGGATTAGAAGAAAAACTGCTACCTTTGTTGATTTTTTATTTTGTTGGGGAGGATGCCGCATCACATTTGTGGAAGTAAACAGACTTCTTGTGGGAGTTGGTTCCTTCCTTCTTGGATATACAAGTCAGGTGACAAATTGCCCTAACTCGCTGAGCCATCTCCTTCACCCACCCATGTCTTTTTCCATTGGCTTTTTCTATGAGTAGAGGAGTAACCTGCAGACTGTGATGGAGGCTCACGGTTGAAGCCTGACCCCCTCTTTTCATGCCCATGCTTTACACTCTTGCTTTTCTTCCACACCTCAGAACCCTGCATGTTACCCTTGGCCACAGGAGACTGCCGTGCCAGTTTGACTCGCTGGTATTTTGACATTCAGAAGCATCAATGCAGACCCTTTATGTACAGTGGCTGTCATGGAAATGCCAACAACTTCCTCAGCAAGGATGACTGCAAGAATGCCTGCATGCTAATTGGTAAGACCCATGTCCCTAGTAGTCTGAGGTCCTCGCTTAAGTACTAACATTATAGCAGTTGAGCTCTAGCCTCGGGCTTTGAGGCTAAGCTGCCTTAGATCCAAACCCTAGGTCTGTCATTTGCTGCTTGAGAGGTCTTTGGCCAGCTGCTTGCCTTCTTAATTTTTGGCTGGGATATAAAATGGGGATATTAATAGTATTTACCTAACAGAGCTGTTGTGATCCAAAACCAAGATATTGTAAGAATTGTGAGGCTGGAAAATGAGGGAAAATTAGCAGATAGGAGGCCGCTGGAAGCCAGGCCATGTCTTGAAGTGTCCCTGTGGGCTGGTCCCTCTCTGCATTCACTTTGGCATGCTTACACAAGGAAGTCTTGCGGTCAGAGAATGGTGAGGGGAAGGCATGGTCCTTCCTGCTCCAAGCCACCTACCATTCAGAAGAGATGGCTTCCTAGTTTCCATCTTAATGTCTCCCTCCCACCTAATCTTGTGTCTATAGGTAAACACCTAGACTCCTTGACCTTATTTCAAAGCTCTCTAGCTTCCAAGTAGCACTGAGTAATCTCAGGAGTCCAGCCCCTTCCCCTCTTTGGGAAATTGGGTACCTGCCTTGGACTCTCTCTTTACAAAGGCAGGTTTTTAATACCACTCTCCTGAACACTCTGATTCTCCTTGGCCCTTACGCAAGGCCTGAATCCTACTCTTCTATCTCTCAATGTTATACTCTGGCTACCCATGACTTCTCTATTCTTGAAGTCTCCTCCAAGCCCTCCAAATGAGACAATACACAAAATGTGCCCATAAACATTGGCCTGTGGAGCCTGAAGGGCCAGCTTAATTCTCTGGAGAAAGATGCTTCTCATCACATCAACCTGTTGAGCATCATCCCAACAAACAGCCGTAGGAGGAAACATAGATAGGTCTGTCCCAAAACCTGGGAGTAAGTGTAGACCTAGGAGAATGTGATGAAGGTGAGGCCTGCAGATTCATTCTTCGGTGCAACGGGCAGTACCGATAATGCTGGGAACCAGTGTGCTATGGGTATAATGTGGATTAAAAGCTTACTCTCCTTGGTCTACTTCAAGTTTCTTTGCCTTTTTGAGTCTAGAAGAGCAACCAGATCTCTGAATTGTTGGCAGGATGGGGTGATATTTTGTTTATGATCTACCAAATAAAGCTTGCCTGAAAATCAGAAAAGCAAAGCAGCCAGCCACTAGAGAGTTCTTAACCTCTACCGGTTGGAGCAATCCTGTCCTCAGTGTGACTGCAGACTGAATACCCTGTGCTTCTGTCTCCACTTGCCTTACATTCCTTTCTAGTGCTGGGATTAAAGGCATGCACCACCACCGGCCACCTTCTATGGCTAATAGTGTGGCTGCTGGGGTTAAAGGTGTGTACCACCACTGCCTGGCCTGGATGGCTGACCAGTGTGGCTGCTTAGCTTTACACCCTGATCTTTGGGCAAGCTTTATTTGTTAGATCATAAACAAAAATATCACCTCTGCTGGATCTGTGCTGTCAGAGATATAAAAGACATGACATCTGGCTCTTCATGGTGTGGCAACTGTGGATCTTCAAAATGCATGTGTCAGGCTCGGAAGAGATGTGGCCAATTTATTGGCACTGCATTTCTGTCTAAGTTTTGTGAGGCAGGTTGGCAAATATTCTGTCATCAACGTGCTATGCTTTTGTTTGTTCTGTAGCCCAGGCCAGCTGGGAACTCGTAGCCATTCTTCTGCCTCAGCCATGCAAGTGCTGGGTTTATAGACGTGAGCCACTCTATTTGGCTCCATCAGCAACACTGCAGATGAGAAAGCAGAGTTAGAATAATCCCCTTAGCTGCCTAGGGATGGACAGTTGGTCGGGGGTGGAGCCAAAGATTTAACTTAATTTCTCAGCCGCAATGTGTCTGAACAGCAAAGCCAAATTTATGACCTGACTTGAAAAACCTGGGACCATATGCTCCCCTTTCTGGAAAGCTCTAAAGCAGCAGTGGTTCTCAACCCCTTTGGGGTTGCATATCAGATATTTACATTATGATCTGTAGCAGTAGCAATGAAATAAGTTTACGGTTGGGAGTCATCTCAATATGAGGAACTGTATAAAAGGATCAAAGCATTAGGAAGGTTGACAGCCATTGCTCTAGAGAATCATGGAGTCATGGACTCTAAGATAATTGGACAATACCTTTGAGAGGCAAACACATAAGCCAGGTATGGTGTCCTATGATCCCAGCACTTATGAGGTAGAGGCAGAAGGATTAAGAGTTCAAGGCTAGCCTTGGATACATAGTGAGTTCAAGATCAGCCTGGGCTACATGTGACCTTGTCTCAACACACAAAAACTGAAACAAAAGCAAGAAAAAAAAATTTTTTTTTTAAATTTCAAGTCTGAATCTGACCTGAGAAAAAGAAAGAAAAGGAAGAATGAAGGAAAGAGAAAGGGAGGGAGGGAATAAGAAGGGAGAGAGGGAGGAAGGGAGGAAGGGAGGAAAGAAGGGAGGGAGGAAGGGAGGGAGGGAGGAAGGGAGAGAGGGAGGAAAGAAGGGAGGGATGAAGGGAGAGAGGGAGGAAGGGAGGGAGGGGGGAAAGAAGGGAGGGAGGAAGGGAGGGAGGGAGGAAGGAAGGGAGGGAGGAAGGGAGGGAGGGAGGGAGGGAGGGGGGAAAGAAGGGAGGGAGGAAGGGAGAGAGGGAGGAAGGAAGGGAGGAAGGGAGGGAGGGATGAAGGGAGGAAGTGAGGGAGGGAGGGAGGAAGGGAGGGAGGGAGGGAGGGAGGAAGGGAGGGAGGAAGGAAGGGAGGGAGGGAGGGAGGGAGGGAGGGAGGAAGTAAGGGAGGGAGGGAGGAAGGGAGGGAGGGAGGGAGGGAGGGAGGGAGGGAGGGAGGAAGGGAGGGAGTCCCCGGGGTGGTATGCATGGTTGTGTTGTTGTTGCTGTTGTTGTTGCTTTCTCTCCCCATTATAACTCAAAGGGAAACTTGCGCACAGTCTCTGGAGCCCTTGACAGCCTGACAATGAGGAGAGAGAATTCTCTACATTCCTTGCAGCAAGAACTCACACATCTAACAAAGGCAAAGTGACAGTGTGCGCATTACCTGAAGATGACAGCTTTGTGCAGATTTCCCATAATGTCCTCTATTTAACAGGGATTGAAGCTTATTGAGTGACAGGGCAGGCAGGGGCTTTAATGCAGGGGCTTCAGATGTCAAGCCCACTCTATTGTGTGGCGAACCCTCCTCAGCCTCCTGGAGAGGGTCAGGGCAAGCTGAATCAAGGTGTAGAACGTATTACCCCTGGGGAGGAGGAGAAGCTTGCTGAAGGTCGGTGTGTGGGGGGTGGGGGTGGGGTGCTGTAAAACTCACCTTGCCTCTTGTTTCAGTGAAGAAGGGACAATGCCCACTCTTCCCTTTCCAAATGCGAATGGAGTGCCCGCCCTCCTGTAAGAGTGACATGGATTGCCAGGAGAAGGAGAAGTGCTGTGAGTCCCAGTGTGGCTTTGTTTGTGCCAGGGCTTGGCTAGGTAAGGACGGTAACAAATCTCCCAGGGTCTCCTGGGCAAATGCCGTGAGTGCCACGATACCCCGTGAACCGGTGAGGGAGGCTCCTCACGATACCCTCAGTGTGAACTCTCTAGGTGACCCAGGGTGGCCTGGATCTCCCTATAGAATCAAGCCAGACTCAAACTTAGCCATCCCCCTGACTCAGCCTCATGGCTGGGAGGCGGAGAAGCCTCTTGAACCTCAGCAGCCTCTTGCCTTAACCTTTGAGGTGTCTCTGGAGACGTTTTAAAAAGCCCAGTGGTGGTGCTCTCATATTGACCTCCTGGCCTCTGGACCCTTGTACTGTTCTTCAAAACCTCCCTTGACTTTCTTAGTCTTAATCCTTCAGTGACTGCAAGTTGATGGTCCAGTGGTAAGTGTGAGCATGTGCACACACATGTATACAGGCACACACACACACACACACACACACACACACACCATTGGGTATATTTCCCCTAAAAACCTGCATCCTGTAGGAGTAGTGTAGTGATACATTTGCCTGTGAACCTGTAACAGTGGTCACGCCTTTTGGGTGTGGTTTCAGGCATGGATGTGACTGGTTAAAGGCAGAGGATAGGAGATGGGGGTGGGCTGAGGTTGCAGACAGCATCAGGGAGGCAGGGCCTGCATCCTTGGAGCAGGAACACCATAACACTCACTGTTTTCTGTGTAAGCTCTTTCCCCAATGAAGCTCCATGTATCATTTATGCTGGTTCTGGTGAACCCATAATTTCTACGCCTTCAGAGGAGAAATACAGCAGCCCAAAAGAACCTTCTTCTGGGCAGCTTGCAGGGCTGGGAGAAAAAAACTCCCATAGAGTAGCAAACTTGGGACTTTTTTATCTGAGGGATTTCAGAGGGAAGCATATGCTTTTGTTGATGATAGCATCTTTACTCTCTCATGCTAAAATCTCCCAATTTCTGCCATATTGAATTCTGTCAGTTTTCTCTCATTTTTTTGCGTATTTCTGACAATTTCTGCTATGATTTGCGTATTTCTAATTTCTGCCATCCTGCTAATTTCTTCCTCCAGTTTCTCCTTTCTCTTCTTTCTCCACAGCTTATAAAGACCCACAAAAATTGTTCAGCCATTCATCTGAAGGGCACATAAAATTTCTTAAGTAAATGATAAGAAACCGTCCTCTCCACAGTTCTAAGCAATAAATCCAGATTAAATTGTCACAAAGCAAAAAGGATCACTTTATTTCAGTTAAACTCCCTAGTTAGTGGGCTGCAAAAAGAGGAGTCTGCCTGTCTTCTATCTAATCTATAGAGGTATTCTTGGTTTTTCTGTGGAACAGTCCTAACTGTCCTGGAACTCACTCTCTAGACCAGGCTGGCCTCAAACTCACTGAGATCCCCTTGCCTCTGCCTCTGAAGTGCTGGGATTAATTAAAGGCGTGCACCACCACCCCCAGCTAGGGGTAGTCTTATAAAACTAAACTACGAAGAGAAATAAGGAAATTGTGTTATATCCTCTACTCAGAGTGTCTAAAACATCTGAAACATTTTGTGTTTAGTGGTTGCAAAGACTGGACTTTCTTGGACTGGAGACGGTTTGTTTATGAAGAGCAATTGTCATGAGAGAGAGAGAGAGAGAGAGAGAGAGAGAGAGAGAGAGAGAGAGAGAGAGAGAGAGAGAGAGCAGCTCACCCTGGCTCCCTAGCTGTGGCTGAGAAATCCTAGCAGCACCGAGCCACAAAACAGCGACAGAGGCACGAGTTCACTAGTACTCTCCAAAGCACAGTGACATTAAAAGCATTTTAAATCTTAAGATATATTTTTCTGTCCTGTGTGTAACCTTTGGCCACAGAAAATGAAGCTTGTAACTCTTTCATGAGGCTATGGAGTTAGTTTATATTTTGTAGCTAGCCCTGGCCAGCCACGGCATCTTCTCCCATGGTGTCTGAAGAAAGGCCATAAAACTGAGGTTAGGTATCTGTGCAAAGATTTAATTACTGTCCCTGGCACCACAATTTGGTTACTTCACACTATTTACTTTGGCTCAACAAACCACATAACTGGCTACATGTCCTTGTAAATTAGATTGTATTTTTCTGTGAATAGTTTATCTTAAAATCTAATTAGCAAAGCACCTGGTCTGATCTACAGCTACTTTGAAATTGTATATCAGTTGATATTGTATGGCTATCTTGGCAGCTGGGAAAATTACAGCTGTTTTCATAAGTTGTGCTTAATGACTTTATGGGCTTTATGGAAACGTATATAACTCCTGACTTGGGCAGTATCTCTTTGTATTTATTTTATTCATCAAAATTCTACATTGGCTAACATTATTAATATCAGTTGAACAACACAGCTAAGGAAGAGTCATCTTCTTGACAATCCACAGATGAAAATACCCTGTACATAGGGAATGTATTCATACAATACACACAACAAATATAGGTTGTGGGAAGGGATGCAAATTAGCCCATGTGTAATTACAGGCAACAGATATTCTAGAGCCTATGTTTCTTGTAGACTTTGCAAACCAAGTTTCTTGCCATCAGAAGTTAGTTCTGGTAGGTTAGCACCTTGAATATCAATTGTTATGTCCTGTGATAAATGATAAAGGCTCCCAACAGGGAAAGACTGTAAATGCTTCTGAAGCAGACGCTTGCCCCTGGCTTCTAAGCCTTGAGGTACATTTAAGTCATAGCAGAATGACAAGAGGCAAGTGGCTTTGACTGACTTCAACTGTCCTGCCTTTCTGCAAGGCTCTGAGGCTAGATAGTCCTCACCCGTCCCCCATAGTTTATAAGATAGGGGAGTTCTGAGGGCCTTCTGAGACTTCTCCCACATCTACTGCTCTGGGCTTGTGTAACAAAATCTTATTTGTTTACATAATTGCACAAGACCCTTCTTGATGTTCTTCAAGTTTTTATTCACAGAGAATCGACACTCTGTCTCCTCTGCTCTCTGGTTAACTGTCGAAGAAAGGGAAGAGATGTCGAAGAAAGGGAAGAGATTTAGTTACAGTGAATCCTCGGTTGGGGGAACCTGTACAAGCATGAGAACCTGATTGTGAAAAAACGTCACAACGCCAGTGTTGCCAAGTGGAGAGAGATGGCGGGGGGAGGGGTTGTCCCAGGAGCTCAGTGGCCGCCCAGGAGAACTGAAGTGGGGGCTTGGGGTTCAGTGAGAGACTTTGTCTTTAAAAAAAAAATAGAGAATTGATTGACTGGAGAAAGACATTTTAATGTCAACCTCTGGCCTGCACCCACCTGCACAGGCAAGCACAACTGTGTACACACAGACAGAAAGAAAGAGACAAGACAGACAGACAGTATCTGGGTTTCCAAATTTATGTCCGATTATTTCAAAGTCAAGTGTGCTTTTTTACTTCACAAAGTCAAAACAGGTTTCTGCCCAAGTAAGCCCATGACGTGTATGAAGATCGATAAGCCCAAGTGCTTGCAGGACAGTGACTGTCCCCTGGATGAAAAGTGTTGCACACGCTGTGGACTGAAGTGCTTGGAACCCAGACACTGAGCAGTAAGTGGGGGGAAGTGTCAGAGTAATGGACTATGGGTAGCACATTATAAAGCTGTCACTTCTTCTAGTCCAGCTACTTGACAAATGACAATACTTTCATGTATGTGTGAGCATATGTGCGTGTACAGGGTTGTGTGTAAGAGTGCAGCAGGGTGTGCCAGATTCCCTGAGCTACAGATGGCTACAAGCTGCCTGCTCTGGGTGGTGGGAACTAAACTTTCCCTGTACGCAGTGGGATGTAAAGTTTGATCCCCAGAACCCAGATAAATCCGGGGGTATAGAAGAATGGGCTTATAATCCCAGAGCTGGGGAGATGGAGAGAGAAGGATCTATGGGGACCAACGGCTGGCTTAATCATTGAGCTCCAGTACCATGAGAGACCCTGTCTGAGAAACGAGGCAGATGGTACCCAAGGAACAACACCCACACTTTACATCTGATACACATGTATCCAAACACCAGCACATACAGCTGTACCTGCAGACACATATACATGCACACATATGTGCACACAAGCACAGGTACATAAAATGCACAAACACATCCTAGTGACCAGAAAAAGATACAGGAACCTGCCAGCTGGATTCGATGGCACACACATCCTGATATTCAGAAGGTTAAGGCAGGAGAATTGATACGAGGCTGAGTCAGCCTGGTCTGCATTGCAAGTCCCAGGCCATCTAGAAAGACTGGGAATCCAGGAAAACCTTGTTTCAAAACAAAACAAAACCGGAAACCAGGCTGGGGAAAGATGGCTCAATGCCTGCTGCCAGGATGACCGGAGATTGATCCCTGGGATCCACATGATGGATGAAGAAAACCAATTTCTGATGGTTGCTCTCTGACCTCCACACCACACAATGGGGCACACACACAGTAAATAACTAAATGTAATTAAAAATAGAGAAACAAGAATAGGAATGCTCAAAGTTTTTATTCAAAGTTTTCTCTTTTTTCAAAGTTCCAATGCAAAGTCTGTCTACCTGTCTGTCTTCTATCTATCTGTCTATCTTTCTATCTTCCTATCTATCTTTCTTTCTTTCTATTATCCACCTATATTTTTTAAAATTATTTAACTTTTATTTAATGTGCATTGGTGTGAAGGTGTCAGCTCTTCTGGAACTGGAGTTACAGACAGTTGTGAGCTGAGAATTAAGCCCAGGTCCTATGGAAGAGCAGCCAGTGCTCTTAACCGATAAGTCATCTCTCCTGCCTTTTTGCCCATTTCTCTCTCTCTCTCTCTCTCTCTCTCTCTCTCTCTCTCTCTCTCTCTCTCTCAATGTCATGTCTTAAAATCTAACCCATGTCCCTGTATGTAAAATGAACCCAAGGAAAATAAAGACTCTCAAACCTTTCTGGATTCTGCCAGTCTGTAGGTAACCATGTAGTATGAAGGAAGAATCTGGTGCCTAGCAGGCCCTGGCTTGGTTCAAGGAAGAAAGAACAAATACCCAGGGTGTGAAATTTGGGTCTAGAACACTCTGCTATGGTTGTTTTCTTCCCATTTCACTTTCTGGAAGTAAAACATAAAAGAAGCAGGGTCCAGAGGCGAGTAAAATCTGCCACGAGCTATCCATCCCTTGTTTCTTCCTTCACAGATATCATTTGAGCTGGGAATGAACTCATTGCTTCCTTTGCCATGATAAAGCAGCATGACCAAAACAAGTCAGGGAGAAAATGGTTTTTTTCCCCATTACAGTTCCACATCACACTCCATCATCAAAGAGAAGTCAGGGCAGGAACTCAACAAAGGAGCCTGGAGGCAGGAGCTAAAGCAGTGGCCATGGCGGTGATGCTTACTGGCTTGCCTTCCACGGCTTGCTCAGTCTGCCTTCTTCTATACTCCAGGAAAACGTGCCCAGGGTGGCATCACCTACAGTGGTCTGGGCCTGCCCCATCAACTGCTAATTAAGAAAATGCACTACAGGTGTGTCTACAGGCCGTCCTCATGGAGGCATTTTCTCAGTGAGAGTCCCTCTCCAAATGACTCCAAAATTGTCAAGTTGGCATAAAACTAGCCAGTACACCCCCAAAGGCTTGAGTTTTGAATACTTGTTCCTCACTTGGTGGCGCCGTTTTTGGGAGACTGTGGAAGTAGGTTCCTGGCAGAGGAGAATAGCTCAGCTTTTCCTGCTAGCCTTGCTCTCTGCTTCCTGACCTGCCCAGTGAACAGTCTCTGGAACCCTCTAAAAAGCTAGGCACAGCAAACCTCTGTACTCTTGTGCACCTTTAATCAAAGCACTCAAAAGGCAGAGGCAGGCAGATCTCTATGAGTTCCAGGATAGCCTGGTCTACACAGCAAGATCCAGGCCAGCTAAAGACATATAGTGAGGTCTTGTTTCAAAACGCAAAACAAACAAAAGCAGGGGGGGAGGGAGGCAGAGAGGAGGGAATAGAGAGAATAAAAGAGAAGAGGGGGAGAGAGAGAAAATTTACTTAGAAGACTGAATTCCCATCCCTCTTCTCCCCCCCCCCTTCAGATTTCTGCTCTCAGCCTGGACAGCAACCAAGAAGACCTACTGGACAAGAGAGACCCTTTCATCTTTTGAATCACCCTTGGAACGAGGTGCAGCTGGACTTCCACACACTTGGTGACACAGCTGTCTAGCTGCCGCTTTGACTGTGCCACTGCATGCATGGTGTGACTGTCCAAGTGGTCCTGGGACTTTCCCATCTCACTGGGTACCACGGTCTGGGCTTGAGCTGGAAGTACATGGCAGGGCCTGCTCCACACTTACGCCTCTTGCACAGACACCGGACTGTCTTCACATCTGCAGGTTGTCTGGCAGAACGCAGGAACACAAGGCCCTGCGTCATCTGTGTTCTAATTCTCCTTACACGTCACCATGGAGCCCACCCCCTCCTGCACCCAGGGCCCCTGCAGCTTCCTCGTGCATTCTGCCACTACACTATTGCCAGATGCATGGACTTGATGCATACCGTCTTCACTCCCTTGCCACTGGGTCTGGCTTCTAGCTGCTCAATTCTTCATCTTACAATCTGTCCATTTTCTCTGTCCCTTCCTCTGTGAGTTTCAGTCTTGCATGTCTTCCTAAAATTTACCCATTTTTCTTTATATTTCAAATGTATTGTCTGTATAATATAAATTACTATATGTAATTTCACATCTTTAACGTTGGTTAATGTTTTGACTCAACCATCATGCTTCCAACCCAACCACTCATCTGCCCACTAAACACTCAATCCTTTTACTCATGTGGCCAATCTCTCACCATCTACCAGGGCCCCAGTCTCAGCCTTTATTCCATCTACCTATTATTTGCCTCCTCTCTCTCTCTACTCTTTCATGCACCAACTTATTCATCATTTCTCCATCTATCCATACTCAATCTTCTTATCAACCCACAAGTGAACCTTCCAATCACACAACCTCCATCAGTAGCCCTACCCATCCCATTGCTATTATGTGGGGAATCTTAAATGTCCCCTAAACGAGCATGTCAAATGAAGCCTTGGTCACTTGACACTATTGGGAAGCCTTAGGAGTGAGATGTAGTTGGAGGAATAGGACTATTGAAAGCACTCCCTTTAGAGGCATACTGCTGCTGTTGTCCCCGCCTTCCTGATTCACAGCTGCCATGAAAAGGCCGCTTTCTCAGCTCCACCACACATTACCCCCATGATGGTCCGCCTCCAGACAGGCCCAAATCAACGAGTCCAACAACTATGAACTGAAACAGTAAAAACAAAATTTCATATTCTAAAGCTACAAATACCTTATTTAGAATGTGTGTGGGCACACTCATGTATGCACACACACACACACACACACACACACCACAGATACATGTTCTTTCTACCATGTGGGTCCTGAGGACCAATCTCAGGTCATTAGGCCTATCAGCAAGGACTTTTATACACTGAGCCATCTCACAAACCCAAATATGTTAAATATTTTGTCACAGCAACAAAAAGCTGACCAACCTTATATTCTGTTCAATCTACTTTGCCCAGCTTTTCATCCATCCAAATATCCATAATCCGTGCCCTCAGCATCCAGATAACCCCCCACATTCCTCTCCTCTTTCTACTCATCCTCCCATCTATCACTCCACTAGACACCAGGCACCTGTGTGTCTGCTTCCATACCTACCAGTTGCCCTGCCTATCTTGCTCCAACAGAAAAATATACCGAGAGTTTATTTTGAACTTCTTCATGTTTTAAGGACCAGTTGTTAGACATTGGCCTGTTTAATGAATCTCAGAGACTGTGAGAACAGATGTGTAATTCAGCGGTTCAGTTAGAATAGGAACAATGCAGGGAGTTATCCATGCAACAGGTCCTGGTCTGATGAAGCATGAGCTGCTAGATGCAGGTCCACGTGTCTTGGTTCTCCCTCAATCACTCATTCTGAGCAGACAATTTGTCCTAGAACAGAGCTCTATGAAGGCCATGACCTTCAGTCAAAGTACAAGAAGGGAAGAAGTTCATGGACCCAGGTGTGTCTTAACCAGCTTGTTCCACCAATTAAGTGAGAAGGAGCACAAACCCAAGCTGCAACCTAGGCCCCAGAGATGGAAATTTCAAGTCATTTGTTTGGAAAATGGCACTTACATGTGTTAACATGCAAATCAGACAGGTCAGACAGAATGTGGTAGAATAACCAGGACATATTTAAGTGTCCCAAGACAGTTTAAGGAAGAAGGCAGACTTAGCTGGGGGCCTAGGAACTTTGGGGAGCTTGTTGACTGTGGTCCCTCAGCCTATCTTGATGGCATGTGTCACTTTGTTCCCTGTGGATTAGAATTCTAACCCTACCTTCAAGTCTACCAAGCCTTATGCACATCACCATGAGAAGGTCCCCTAGTGGACCCTGGTGGAGACTCATTTGGTACACTGGGACTCTGTCTCTCACACTCACTCATTGAAGGACACTTGTCATGATCCTTGCTTCTCCGGGTCGCATAATCCCTGTCTACAAAATAAAATACCTTAAGGCCTTCCTGCCTAGAAACGTCAAATTTTCACTTTTTTCTGGCTGAGTTTGAGAGAATACGGAAGTACAAGAAGGTCAGGCTGGCTTAAGATATCTTGGTTGTTTAGTGGAAATTCTGATTCCCAGACTGGAGATCTAAGTCAATGGGAAAGCATTTCCTAGTCTGTACAGACCTGGATTTGATCCCCAGCACAAAAATTAAATCTATTCTTTAGCATTTTTTTGTGGGACCATCCTTGGGTGACATTGTAAAATTGCTGAGATGGGATTGCCATAGGGGTTCTGCCTATGATCCTTAATTTTGTGATCATGTTATCTTTTAATGACGAGACAGTGGATTCTGTCTATCTGCTGTCTGTAATGACATTGACCTATGCAATTTGTTAAGAACCTAGCCAAGCATATCTACACAATGGAATACTACTCTGCGGGGGGAAAAAATGGAATCTTGAAATTCACAGGCAAGTGGATGGAACTTGAAGAAACCATCCTGAGTGAGGTGACCCAATCACAAAAAGAGGAACATGGTATGTACTCGCTCATATATGGATTTTAGACATAGAGCAAAGGATAACCAGCCTATAAGCTAATGGGCCCCCAGATTGATAGCTGGGAATCCAGCATGGAATTGACTCATGCCCCCCGAACATGTGCCTCAGCTAGAAGGTCTAAGCAGTCTAAGGGTTCTCTTACAGTGGAACCAGGATGTATTCCTGGTGCACAAAAGGACTTTGTGGACACATCCCCCATGAAGGGATACTCCCTTAACCCAGAGCCAGGAGAGAAGTCCTAGTCCCTACTCCAAATGGCTTGACAGATTTAGATGATCCCTCCTGGAGGGCATCACCCTACATGTGGAGTGGGGGGGGATGGGAGGGGAGAGTGGTCAGGGTGCATGTGAGGGTGGGAGAGAGGGAAAGAGAGAGGGGGAGGGGACTGGGATCGATATGTAAAATAAAAATAAAATAATATAATTAAAAAAAAGAACCCAGCCAAAGAAAGCAGAAACCCTATTTATTGTTAACCTTGCCCTTCACAGAGTCTGTCTCTCCTCTAACCCAGGTTAAACAGCTGGTGCTATGGATTCATGCCTTAGGAGAGGCTTCTCGGGTTTGCACCCTTCTTTTACTGAATCCGGGAGGATTGTTGTCCTGGGTTCAGCTGCTGTCTCTTAGATCTGCATCTTCATTTCAGTGTCTCCTCAGGCAACAGAGTTTGTGTCACATGGGGGAGTCTCCCTGTGGTCTGTAACATTCAACAACACTGTGACAAGCACTATCAAAAGACTCTGATATCAGTTTGATTTCCCCTCAATTCCCTGCTCTCTGTGGAAACATCTTTACTCTTTGGCCTAAGTAAAAAAAAATGGTTCAAAGAAATGATAAAGGAGAAAATGGTGGGAAGAAACTCTAGGAGAGGAAGAAGGGAACACAGTGACTATGGGCTTCTCACAGGAGTAAATGTTAGATACTGACATGGAGAGATACCACGACAATAGAGACATTGTCAGTGACAAATGGAAGGGTGTGTGTTATTGGTCTGAATGTTTTAGAAAAGGGTAGATGAATGGGAAAGAGGGCATTCCACATAAACTTTAAGTTATCAACATGAAGATCTGAGAGGATGACATTTACTCTTAATGTGGCATGAAGAGTGTAGAGTACACTTTGCTCACTGCTCTGGTTGACCAGAAGGCTAGCCCTATGCAGTCCAAGCAACAAGATGTGGGCTTTCTCCATAGATGTGGGCTGTGAATGTCATTATCTCCACTCATGATTTCAAGAACTTGGTGTTCCCAGCAAGATAGTAGGTGACTGGCTTTTTTCCAGCCCTGCAGCTGAGGTACAGACTATTGAGAGAATCAACTGGGCTAAGGCAGCCAGGCATTTCCATGTTCTAGAACCACCAGCCAGACCAGCCCCTCACCGGAATGAGGCTTTCTGGATTTGCGAGCCTCCTCTTGCTGTTTGGCCTGTTTGCGAATGTCCAAGGACCTAGTCTGACTGATTTTCTGTTTCCCAGTAAGTACTGGCTTTCTATTGTTGTCTGGGAGAAAGGGAAGTTTGCTGGGAGGATGAGAAAAGGAGCAATTCCTCAGGTTTAGCTTGTCTTTCTGCATCTTCTTCCTGGATGTGGTTTGGGAAAGGAGGGAGACGCTTAGAAGGTCTCTTCTTTGTGATGTCTTTTGTGTTATTACAGGGGCAAGGGTCTGGGAAAACTCTCCTTGAAGTCCCTTTGAAGAGATGTCTTCCTTGGGGACGTGGAGAAGAATCATGGATCCAGCATTTATGGGACAACCCCTAACCTCTCAAGAGAGACAGACCCCTCTCCGGGGAGCTCTGGGGTCAGAGTGGGGTGTTAGATGCTGGTAGCCAGGCAAGCTAGAGCAAAATGTTTAAATTTCACGTAGCCTGTCTGAGACTTGATGTCTTCATTTCAAAAGAATTTTAGTCCTACAGCTTTTCAATGAAGAGATGAGACAGAGAGTTAAACTTCCTTCATAGTGACTGCTCTACTATATGAACTAACATTTGTTTGTATTTACTATCTCATTTAATCCTTGCAGCAGCTCTCCGAGAGTAAGTCCTATCAACTCCCCTATTTTATTCTTTTAATTAAATTTTAAAATTCTTAAACATTAAAGTACAATGACATCATTTCCCCCTCCATTCTCTTCCCTCCAGTTCCTCTCATCTACTCCTCCATGCCACCTTAAAATTATGGTTTCTTTTTCTTTAATAACTATTGTTGTGTGTGTGTGTGTGTGTGTGTGTGTGTGTGTGTGTGTGTGTTTGTGTGACTGTACCTAAATAAATAAATACAACCTGCCGGGTCTATTTAGTGTTTCTTATGTATATGATGTCAGGGCTGACCCCTTGGTATAGAATAAGCAACTAGGGGGCTCTTCCCTGAGAAAGACTATTTCTCCTGCTCTCAGGGCCCCTCGCTTGCGTATAGCTCCTTGAACTCCCCCTTTCAAAGATAAGGAAACTAGAAGACATAGAAGTTAAATAATTTGTCCAGGAATACAAGGCTACCAGCCTTCAGCCCACCAAAGATTTTTCTAAGACAATATTTTTATTAAACCACTGAGTATTTTATACAATGTGTTTATGATCATGTTTAGCCTCCTCCACACATTCATCCCAATAGAGTTAGAATTCCAAAACCCAGCTGTGGCTGAGAGATGAATCAACTGTACAATGTCGCCCTCCAGAGGAACTCACAAGCAGGGCTACAGCAAGACTGATTAGCTAGATCAGCCAAAAGCAGTGCTCTGAGGAGGAGGTCCCCTAAAGAGGCCTTCCCAGTGTCTAGAGACAGTTAGGGGGTTAGGATACAGAGGAGGAGCTCAGGATGTCTAGTACTAGAAGCCAAGGTTCCTACAAAGCACAAGACAGTTCCCAAGGCAACAGGAGATTACCCTGCCTGTTTCAGTGGCTGGGGTTAGACCAAGGATGGAGCTGAGAAGGTAGAGAGAGGGGGGTGGTTGAAGAGGTTGTTGGGGGGGGCATATTTCAGGAAACATGAGCGAGGGGAAGGATTCCTTCAGGGTGAACAACCTTGAACACGTGCTTTCCTGGACTCCCCGAAAGGAAGGCCCTGAGACTCAAGGACTGCTTCTTCCTTAGGGAGATGCCCCCGATTCAGAGAGCAGTGTGATCACAAAGAGAGGAACCTGTGCACCAGAGACAGGGATTGTCAGAAAAAGGAGAAGTGCTGTGTCTTCAACTGCGGAAAGAGATGTTTAAACCCCCAACAAGGTAATGTGAAGGAAGGGCTTTGGGTGCCACACACCTTCTACCAGCATGCCCTCTCCTGCCCTCCTGGGCTGCCATTGCCCTGGCTCACTGAGAGGTGGTATCTGGGTAAGAACTCTGGATTGGGGGTCCTGTGTTTAGATTCACTACAGCTCCTGACATGGTATGTGGCAGTGATGCTCTTGTCCTAGGTCATCTATGACCCTCAGTCCCCCCCCCCAAATAAATGATGGGTGCATGGGTGGGATTGAGTTGCACTGTTTCTTGACTGTTTTTCCCTGCCATGATTTTCTGAGTCCCCAAGTGATCATTGTCATCCTAACATTATCGGTGACACGCAAAGTGATTTATCTTCCCTAGCTTTTGACTGCTAAGCAATTGCCTCTCTGCCCATATGAATCCGACTTTGTACTAGGAAGCCTGCCCTGACATTCCAGACTAGACTCCCAAAAAGTTATCTGGTATTCTTCATTTGTTTAGAAATATTTACCAAGTGTTTCTGGTGCCCGTATTTTTAGCTAATTTTGCACTAATAAAATATATGAGACAGATTAATTATGAAGAAAAGGGGTTCACTTAGGTCAGTTTTTGAGGCTGGGACCACACATTACAGGCAGGCACCATCATGGCCTCTGTAGGAGATGACAGGCAGAAGATATCACATGATCAACAGAAACCAAGAGAGTCTTCGGGTCCTATAATCCTTTTTAGAGGACATGTTCCAGTTGATCTAGGAGTCTCCCAATAGATCTCACTTCTTAAAGGTACCACAACCCTGTGGACCAAGATTCCAATACATGAGCCTTGAGGAGGGGAAACATAACCCATACTCAGACCACAGTTCTCGTAATAGCACCCAACATGTTCACTGTGGTCAGAGGCACTGCAAAAAGTCTCGAGGTAATCAAACTCAGAGCTGAGTTCAAAATAAAGGGCAGTAGTAGACGTGAAGCTGGAAGGGTTCACCAGGGCATCCCCGGGAAGGGATCCCAGGGAACCAGAGAGTGAGCATGATGCTAGTTATCGGGAAAGATCCTTGGTGTGTTCGGATCATCCAGTCCTAGTCTGATGGGTCTGAAGGAAGACTCTCATCTTGAACCATGGCCTCAAAGATCATCTTAATCCTAAGAACCATGGGCTGGAAGACAAAGAAAAAGTGAACAATGACATGACCAACATGTATGATCCTCAGAATGGGGGGGGGCGCGGACTGGAGGGGCTGGGGACTTCCAGGAGAAGGGAAGTGATGGATTCAACTAGAGACGCAGCTCAGTGAAGCAAGAGAGGATGACGCTTGGAAAGTACTGATGAGCGTGGGATCTGACAGTATAGCAGAGCGGACAGACGTCGGGCGTCTGACTCTGCACGTCCTAAATTTGGATCTCAGCTCCAGCTTTTAGTGTCTTTTTTAAAACCTTGAACAAATTAGTATTTTTTTTCTCTGCGCTTCCACTTCTTTACATGATGGAAGGGCTAGTGCTAACAGCTCTTTTCAATCCCTTGGAATGCTCAGAGCCATGTCAGGCACAGGAGAGGGATGCCTGAGGCCCTCTAGATTAAATGGTTCATCTTTGTTGCTTGAGAACTAAACAGCAGTGACACATGTCTTCTTTGTCTCTGGAAGCATCCAGCTAATGGTAGGTGATCCTGGAATGATCCACTCAGCTCAGTAGGGGTCCATCTTATTTACCCCTTTAACACTCCATCAGGCTCTGTACCATGCCAGGCTGGCCGCCTGCTAGACATCAGAACCTCAAAATGAAGTCAGACACAATCCCTGCACACCATCTCAGGAACAAGACTCTGGCATTTCTAAAAGAATGATAAATGAACACACAAACTTCAGAAACAAGATGGGGAAATGCAGGGTTGGTTCAGGCAACTGCCATGGTGTGGGATACGGAGTGGAGTTAAGAGAGACATTGCAGAGGAACTGGCTATTGAGAAAGGTTTTGAGGGAAGAATAAGCATTTTGCAACCCTATGGTGGTGCAGTGTAGCGTGGTGTGCTGAATTGAAAATCGCCATAGCATGGGGCTTGAAGGGATTCCACTGCAGAAGATGCCAGAGCCAGGCATAGGAGCCAAAGATGAAGAACCCTGTGAATCCCAGGACTTTGTAATGAAGCTGAGGACTGACATGTGGTGTGACATGATCAGCTTGTTTACCAATCCATTGGCTCCTCCTCCCGAGTGGTCTATATGGAGGATTGATGGGGGAGTCAGAATTGAAGGCAGAAGGATGAATGAATGATCGGAGGCTGCCTCAGTAGACTATGTGGAGCCTGGCATAGAGGTGAACTCTGAGGAGGTGGCAAGCCGCTGCTGTGGTCAAGGAGCTTGTGGGTCAGCCGGAGCCTGTGTTAGCTTTCTAGCGCCACCGGAATAAAGCACCACAGCCGCAGAGTTCGGTGATAGTGATGTGTGTTCTAACAGTTCTGCAGGCTCAGAGGAAGAGGTTAGGTGAGTGACAGTGAGGTTCTAGGGAGGTCAGGAGAAAATTTCCTGAAGTCTCTTCTCATTGGGTTCTGGGATTGAACTCAGGTCCTCAGGCTTACATAGCAAGTGCCATTATTTGTTGAGCCATTTCCCTGGCTCATGAGTGAGAACTTTATCACACATCTCATGTTAGTAACTGGTGGCTTGCTGGCAATCTTTGGCATCCCTGATCTCTACCTTCAAATGCACACAGCACCCTCCCTGTGTGTGCATCTCTGTCCAAGCTTCCCTTTTCAAAGGGCCCCAGCCATATTGGATTAGAAACCCTCAGTGCTCAAATATGCAACTGCTTTAACTGATTGGGTTTACAGGCTGAAGATAAGAGTGCTTGCCTGGCATGCATGAGGTCCCCAGTCCATTCTTAGGACCCCAAAAGTGAGGGCAGAGGAGGGTGTCACCTGTGTGGTAATTCTTTTGCATTTCTGTGACAAAATACCCAGTAGAAACAATTAATGAACAAAAGGCTGCTTTTGGCTCATAGTTTTAAAGGGCTTCTGTACATCACCATGGAAACAGCATGACGACTGAGTTCGTGGTGTCAGAAGCACATGATGGAGACTCCTCATATGGCTTCAGACCAGGAAGCAGGGCTATGCTATAACCTTAAAAAGCCCTCTCTAGTCACCTACTTCCTCCAGCCAGGCTCCATCTCCTAACAGGTCCCACCGCCTCCCAAAATATCACCCTCAGCTGGGTGAAAACTGTTCAAAGTGTAAGCCTGGCGGGGGAGGGGCATTTCATGTTTCAACCATAACCACCCGAAAGAATCCTACCTCCGGGGATGCAGACACTCAACATATCATCTCCCAGCAAGGACGTGCAATATGGTTGTGGTGCTGAGCCCCTAGAATGTGAGAAGGAAAAGGATTCTGTTTCAGATTCATCCGTGGTGGCTTTGCAGTGGTTCTCGGGGAAAGGAATGACATTGTTCTGTTTGGGGTTGTACACTCTGAGTTCTCAACCCTGGGCTCTCCCTGCAGACATATGCAGCCTACCGAAAGACTCTGGCTACTGCATGGCGTATTTCCCTCGCTGGTGGTATAATAAGGAAAACAGCACGTGTGAACTCTTCATCTATGGCGGCTGCCAGGGTAACAACAACAACTTCCAAACCCAAGGCATATGCCAGAACATCTGCAAAAAAAAAAGTGAGTCTTGGAGGCCCCATCTAAAATCCCCACCAGAGCTGTCCTGGAAGGTGTGGGTGTGGGTGTGGGTCAGTCTGTTCCAAGGCAACTATGTCCTTCTCAGACGTGACAGAACTAGACTTGATCCTGAGTGGTGGTGGTGGGATGGGGGAGATGACACTGTGGCCTTCTGGAAGGTATGGGGGAGTTAGCAAACAAGAAGGGATTTAGGAGGGGTGAAGGGGGATGTAGAAGGGTCCAACTGTCCAGCCCCTCTGGGAACACTGGCCAGGGAACCATCCCAGGCCATCAACCTCTTCACCTCCTTTTGCCAGAAATCCAATTCTGTCCATTTTTCCTTGAGAAAGCAAGCTGACCTATGTTTTAATAGTCTTTTGAGTGGGCATATAAAATGCCAACTTTCATTATATTCTCATCCCTAGATGTTTGCTCGTTGCTCGCATTCAACTCCCATTGACAAACTTTGCTTTGAACCTCCTCCCATGAAAAGATGTAGAAACATAGCTCAGGCTCCAGAGGTAAACTGAGCCCAAGATTCTCAGCTGTATCTTGCATCTGTATTCTCAACAGGGTCATCCACCTGAACAGAGGACATGCTGGGAAAAGCATCAGGATTTGGCTTCTGTTCCAAGCTCTGTGTTCCTGCTGGATTCTCCAGAGTGGCTTCTGGTGACTGCTCTCAGTACTCTAAGGCCTTAGGTCTTCCCAACATTGAATCCCAGGATGCTCTTCCTCCCATCTGTATCTCCTGGTCATAATACCTCCTCTTAGGATCCCATCACTCACGATCCCTCCCCTGCTCAACTCCGCCGTCAGGAGCTCCCTGTTTGTTTCCATGTAGCTTTCAACTTTATTCAATAAAGTATTTGGCTTCACCCTGTGCCTCTGAGACTGGGTGATTCACACATCTTCAGCATGGGGAGAGTGAGGCATTGGTGAAGCTTCTGGAGATATCACTCAATATGGATGCTACATCCATGAAAATTGGGAAGCCCGGGGATTTTTTTTTTTTTTTCTTTCTCCTCTGTCTAAGATCTGTGGGCAATGCCTTGGTTTCTATGTCACAGAGACTGACTCTGGGACAAGGAAAGGGGTTATTGGCTTTGGGAAATTCCCCCAAAGAAATACAAGTGATTGTGGCAAGTGATAAAGCCGGGAGTGGGGGACATAGACTCTAGCGGGGATGGTTGCTGCCTGTACCGCAACATACTTGATTTCCATCCACCAACCAGAAACAGCAAAAATGTGTTCCAGCACACACTTTTGTTTTCAATCTATTTTTTTTAATTGCAGTGATTTTTAAGTTAGTTGTTGCTGGGAAATTGTATCATACTCCCACTGAGTATATTTTAGGGGGTCATATGAACCAATAAAACATGCCTCTAAATTTTCTTCATGTATCTCCAGTGACAGGGAAGGGGAGATACAAGCCAAGTGTTTCCCATTGTCTCCTCCTGGATGCCTGACATATAAAATCCTTTATGCATATTCCAGAATGTTCCACATGCAAGCTGGGTAGGCTCCAAGGGATCAAAAAACATTATGGGGCAAAAGTAGAGTGAAACTTTGGCACGTGACAGGATGTGATTCAACCACAAGCATGGGGAACCAATACAGTGATCTGTTGTGGATGAACATATACCAGGGGCTGGAAGCATGGCCAAGAGAGTAAAGAGCTTGCCACACAGGCATGAGGATCTGAGTTCAAATCCACGGGACCCATATAAAGTCAGATAGGGTAGCACATACCTGCATACATGGCTTCTACATTGAGATGGGCAGAGAAGACAGAGTAATCCTAGAAGTTTGTGGGCCAGCTGGCATGGAGTGATGGGGGCTGGGCAGGGGCAACAAAGACACCCTGCCTCAAACAAGGTAGAGGAGGAAATTCCACATCAAAGATTGTCCTCTGACCACCACACACGGGCCATGGAAACCTTAACACACACACACACACACACACACACACACACACACACACACACACTCAACTGTATTATCCATTTACATGACATACATAGAACAGGAATTAGGTATAGCGATTCAGGCCTGTATTCACAGATACTGAGGAAGAAGAGACAGAAGGATTGCCTGTCTGGGGATGTTAGTAAAATCCTATGTCAATTCTCAAGAGAGAGAGAGAGGGGGGGGGAGGAAGGAGGGAGGAAGAGAGGGATGAAGGAAGGAAGAAAGAAGGGCAGACTAGGAATGTAGCTCAGAGGTAGAGTATTTATTTGTGTAAGGCCCTGGACTAGAGACCCAACAGGACAAAGAAAAAGACAGCAGGAAGATCTATAAGATGGAAAGTGGTCTCAGGGGCTGGAGTGGGTTGGAGGCTAGAGAGAGAGATTGCTCATGAACCGGGGATTTCAGCTAGCCTGGTAAAAACATTTTGGAATGGGTAGTTATGGCCCACAATCACATGAATGTACTAAGAAAAGAAGAAGACAGATTCCATATTGCTGACCTGAAAATGGTGCGTTTTATCTGGAGGAATTCTACCAGTTTTCAACATGGACGCCATGGGAATGTCTCTCACAGCTTCAGATGAAGTCCTGGTGAGTCAAGTGTATCCGGCTGCAGCCAGCCTTCCCTGCCTCAGTCTCCCCTGCATTGCTCACACGTGTCCACACTGCATCCACCCCCTCACTAGGGCTCCAAGATTTGAGTTGAGGGAATATTCCAGAAGTATCAGAGAGCCACTTGGTCCCTCCTGCAGCTGACTCTGAGCATTGCTTCCCCTGGCCTCTGCTAACCTGCTCTTGTGACAGAGGCCCTGAGAGCCACTCCTTTCCTGTCTGTGAGACACCATGGCCTGCCCAGACGCTCACCAGGGACCTTAGGTTTGTGCTCAGCTGACAGTCTTTACCCTTGGATGGAGACAAAAGATGAGTGGGCCAGAGACAGGAGAGAGAAGGCAGAGGGACTTGGAGGGTAAGGACAGAGGCTCAGGCAGAGCCATTGGAAAGGAGGAGGGGGAGGCACAGGGTAAAAACAGAGATGAGGACAAGAAGCAGCCAAGGCAGGACTGAACGTGATCGGTCTAGTGTTTGTCCAGCGTGCATGGAGCCCCCGGCCCCACGCAAACCAGGTGAGATGACGCAGGTCTGTAATTCCAGCACTGGGGAGGTGGATGCAGAAGCAGTCTTCCAATACGTAGCAAGTTTGAGACCAGCCTGGGACAGATGGGATCCTGTCTCAGAAAGACAGAGGGAAGAGGGAGAGAAGGGCTGGAGAGATGGCCAGCCATTAAAGGCTAGACTCACAACCAAAAAATATAAGAGAAAAAAAGAGAACTTGGCATGAAGGAAAAAAAAAAAAAACAAGAAAGAAAGAAAGACAAGGGATGAGGGCGGGCGCTGTCTGTGGCGGTGATCTTGGCTGTCAAGTAGACACAGCTGGGAAGGGGTCGCCTCAGTTGATGGAATGTCTGGAATGTCTCCATCACATGGGCTTATGGACACACTTTTGGGGAATTTTCTGGAATCTAACTGATGGTGGAAAGTCTTGCCAAGTGTGGGAACACCATTACTGGACAGATGACCCTGGGCTGTGGAAGGAAAGCAACTGAGTGAGCCAGAGTAAGCAAGCCAGTAAGCAGCATTCCTCCATGGTCCCGAGTTCAGTTCCCGCCTCCAGCTCCCTAACTTGGCTTCCTTCCATAATGGACTATATATATAACCTGTGAGTAGAAATAAACCCTCTCCTCCTTCAACTGCATCTAGTCAGTGCCAATCTCAGCAACAGAAAAGCAGCCTAGAAAGCTCCCAATCTCCAATTTTCCACTGGGAAAAGGAAGGTTCTATAACTTTGCTAAGAAATCCTAGAAGGACCCAAGCAAGTGCACCCCTCTCCCTAGGAGGCCAGAGAGGCAGAGAACCTCAGATTGCAGAGGCCCAGATCACAGAGCCAGACGCCTTTCCTCTGTGTGCACTGTGGGTACAGCAAGGCCACTGATGGCCTCCGGGAGGGAACATGACTGGCTCCTGTCCAGATTTGCTTCCTAGGTGGTTGGGGCACAGAGCCACGAGCAGAGGCTGCAGCCACTGACCTGCTCCTCCCAACTTAATGCCTCTAGCCAAGCTACTGCTTCCTAAAATGAGACTCTGGGGACTTCTGCCATTCCTGGTTCCCATCATCTTCCTGTGGGGCATCTGGGAACCTCCGCCAGCAGAGGGGTTCTTTGCCAGTAAGTATTGGGGTACAGTTCTTATCATGGAGAGAAGAAACTTCCTGGGGCTAAAGAACAAAGTCTGCTGCACATGGGAGTGTTTTCACACCTCAGCCCCAGGCCCGGGTGGGAGTGAGATGTCTGGGATCATTGTTTTCCCATCACCCCGGAAAGATGTCCTGGGTGAACACAGGGCCCTGGGTCTGTGGCAGTTACTCCCCACCCTGATAAGGAATTGTTCATGGAGGTGCCGGCACTGCGGTGCATTAAATGGACACTGGGAACTAAAAAGCCAACAGGGTTTCCATTCAAGGATGAGCCTCTCCCTTCACCACCACTGAACTCCCCAGAGCTGTCCCGCATCCACACAGGACCTTACCTGAGCGCTAAGGAGCAGCCTCCAGGGTCCTTTCAGTGCAGAAGCTCAGAGACTTCATCCTTACCGGCTAAAACACACTGAGCACTTGAAGGTAGTGGGGAACGTGAGCGCTTAGGAGGCCACGTGACCCGGTGGGAATTCTGGGTCCACTCCTTGGTAGCTGCGTGGCCTGCGCACGTCCACAGAGCCTCCCCTTGCTGTGGATGCCTCTGTTGACTGTGGATCACTGAGCGCTAACTCGGAAATGTGTGGTGAGGAGGAAGGAGAAAGGCCACGTGCTCAGTAAGTGCTTTGTTAATATCAATCGCTTGCTTTAGCTCAGGCGTCTTGACCAAGGCTTTTCAAACTTTGTTGCATTACCTTCAGGACACAATCCAGGCAAACAGTGAGAGCTACAGGGGCCAACCAAGGACAAAGCCAATTAATTGATCAGAGCAGTCCCAAAGGGGTGGGGAATCTTATAGGTGCTGGAAGGGAGGGGCTAGGGAAGGTCCTGGGTGTCAGGTGCTGAGTCCCTACAGTGGAGCTGAGGCCTGTGCTGTGAAACCCTGAGGGTTCCCGGGTCCCAGTGACAGCTGAGGGGCAGACAAGCTTCCTCAGCTCTGCAGTGCTGCCCCGGACACGGGAGATCATGTCCTCCAACACCTCAAGGGACACGCCTTCTCCTGCTATAGGATCATGCCCAAGAGTCAGAATAAAGTGCGAAATTGAAGAAAGAAACGAGTGTACAAGGCACAGACACTGTCCAGACAAGAAGAGATGCTGCATGTTCAGCTGTGGGAAGAAATGCTTAGACCTCAGACAAGGTACTTCTCTGCTTTCACGGTTGCCCCTCCCCACTCCCACCCCCACCCCAGGGCTAGTGTTCACCTCCTATACTGCTCACATCCTTGGGCTCTGCAAAAGACTATCAAAGCTATTCACCCATATTGTGGTTTAATAAGGATCAGGATAAACAATTAGGCCGAGCAGATGTTTATTCAGGGAGAAATAACTCACAACATAAGCAGATGAACACAAGCAGGATCCTGGTCCCAAGGATGCCTCCGGAAGTGCTCCTGTCCCCATGCTGCAAACAAGAGAGCTCTCCCAGTTCCTTCCTCAGGTCACTTCTGGCCCTGTCTCCACCCCCCATGGGCGTGGTCTATGCCACAGGTTCAGACAAGGTGAATATCTCACTACACACCCATTTTATCAATCAACAAACATTTACGGTGCCTGTGACACCCATGATGGGTTCCATCTGCTCACTGTGGCCACCAAAGCTTTTCCTGGGGAAGGCATATAGGACTTGGAATCTGAAGGATGGGTACTGTGCAGGCAAACACAGGGAGAAGCACTCATGGGAAGGCCCTGTGTTAGGAGACATATGATCAGGCCTGGAGATGCTGACCGGCAGAGAAGGGGGAGTGGACAAGGGAGGGTGCTCTGGGGTCTGGACTCCATCTTCCATGTGATCCTAACCCTGTCTGTGGTCTGCTTGGGTTCTGGTTGCTGAACCAGGGAATCAAGGCTGACCTCAACCTTGACATCCTCCTGCCTCAGCCATCTGAAGCCTGGGGTTCTAAGCGTGCTGGACCACCATACCTGGTAGGTCATCTACATTGAACTCCCTCACCAGCTATGGGACTTCAGGAGAGTCGCTGCACCTCTCCAAGTCTCATGTCCTCTACCTGCACAATGAGAACAGTTAGAGGGCTGCCACACAAGAGGAAATGTTCACATGTGTCAAATGCTAAACCCCTGGACAAAACTTTATTAAATGCTTAAGTTGGGGATCTTAGTTTCTTTCCTTGTTTCTTTCCCCCCCCCACCTTTTTTTTTTCTTTCTTTCTGAGAACATTCCTGAAAAGTCCATTCATGCCAAATGATCTGCTCAGAGCTGCTGTACCAGGTTAAGGTATAGTCATTGCCCATGAAGAGTTCACATTCTCCAGGAGTCAGAAAATATGGATAAACCCACCATAAATCTTCATCCCAGACATAAAATGATGCATGAAAATCAAGGGTGAAGCATGGACTCAGGAGACATTAGAAAGGCGCTGACACCTGGGAGTGTTTAGAAATTGGAGTCAGGGTCTTCCACACTGCTCAGGGCAGCCTTGAAATTGTTGCAGTCCTTCTGCCTTGGCTTCCCAAGTGCTGGGAGAGCCGGCAAATGCCATCACACCTGGCAAATGCCATCACACCTGGCTGCTGAAAGGGTTTGGAGAATGAATAGGAGAGTGCCCTGCTGGCAAGAGCAGCTCTAGAGTTGAGCAGTGTGAAGGCATGGAGGCAGGGGACAGGGTGACTTTCAAGCATCATTTGAGAGGATGAGTGTTAGCAGCAGCAAGAGAGAGAGACTGTGGAGAGGGAGGATATGGACTTTCTGGTTTGGGGAGATAACTTTGTCCTGAGCTAGTGGATCAGTTACTCTGGAACCTGATGTCCACTGGATTGGAATGTTTGGACTAGACGGTGGCCATTCCTGTCAGAGAGGAAAGAAAGGAGGGCCATTGATGACACAAAATCATTACTAAGTCGTGGTTCAGATGGCTGAGGAGAGACAATGAAGGAACTGTTGCAGTGGCCACACCTGCTCCTCTGATGGTTAACGAGGGTTCAGGCAGGAGGCTTACTGTCGGCAGGTGGAGGCTGACTAAAAATGATCTGAGAGAGAAAGAGTCAGTGCATATACACATACTTTTTTTTGGAGAATAAAGAGCCATGAGAGACATGCTCATTATCCTTCAAAACAAAGTTCTTCCCCTTAAGTTCTCTTCAGGAGTTTCTCTCCAAATGTTCCCTCTCAAAAAGCTCTCTTTAAGATTTCTCCTCAAAAGTTCTCTCTAAAAATTTTCCCTCTAAATCTCTTTCTTAAAGTTCTCTTTAGAAGTGCTCCTTAAAAGTTTTCCTCCATAAATTTTTTTCTTCAAAATTCTCTTAGATCCCACAAAGTTTACAGTTTTTATTCCCACAGACGCTATTAGCAATTCTCTGACGATAGGGTATGCATATCTCTTGGAGCCAGGAAAGCAGATAAGGTCATGTCCCAGAAAAGATGTGACTTACAACATGTGCTGTTAACTGGTTAAAGGTGACTTCTCCGCACTATATCAAAGGAAAAAACTAAGGGTATGTAATCCAGAGGCTGCCGTTCTTACTTCTGACACCCCAATGAGAAGGAATGATCTTTCTCTGGGGCCATTTTGAGAATACAAAGCACCCAGTATATTTTCTATAGATCAAGATTATACAGCCAAATTCATTGTAACAGATATTCTGAAGTCCGTATTTCTTGCAAGTTTTCTCCATCAGAAGTTAATTCTGGTGGGTTGATACTTAGAATATTAATTGCTACTTCTGTTATATATGATAAAGGCTCTCAGCAAATGGTCTTGTCCCAACTAGCAAAGTGGTACTTTGTGTTATCATCCTACAGATGAGGAAATTGAGACCAAAGAAGCTGAAGTGTCATCAGAGTTCCCCTAGAACCGGAAGCACAGCCCTGAGCTGGACAAAGAGAACAGTGGGGGAGGGGTGGGGTAGGGTTGCCTTCTAGGAGACAGGCATCCAAACATCTGTCTCCCATGATTTCCCCACAGATGTATGCAGTCTGCCACAGGATGCTGGCCCTTGCTTGGCTTACCTTCCACGATGGTGGTATAATAAAGAAACCCAAATCTGTACCAAATTCATCTATGGTGGTTGCCAAGGGAACCCTAACAACTTCCAAACTGAAGGTATCTGCACAGTTGTCTGCAAAAAGAAACGTAAGTCCCCAATCTGCATTTTTACTAAGTCTAAACAGCGATCTGAGCATCAGTCCTTTCTAAGACCCGAGAAGTCCTGGAGGTGCAAATGGGAAAGAGAGGATAGGAGGGAGGCAGTTTTAAAGGGAGCCTGCAAGTCCAAGGTGAGTAGTGGGAATGCACACAGGAGTGCTCAGATCAACTCAGAGAAGGAGCATGTGGGCTGCCATGGTTACCACACTGAAACAACAGGAACAAAGTGCTATAAATCAGGGGTGTGATTACTCTGAGCCCAGCACTTCTGGTTTCCCTGCTTGCCTGAGGATGGGAAATGACCCCATCCCTTTTCATTAGCTGAAAGATCTGGTACCCAAGGTGACTGAAGACAAGCATCTCCATCCTTACCCTTCTGTCTTGCAGACCTGTCTTCCTGGAAATGATAAGGTTGTGCTGGAAGAAGCTCCAGGTCTTGGCTCCTACACTGAGACTTTCTTCTGTGAGTCCAACAGATGCTCTAGATTGGCTGACACCAGCCAAGTTGAAGCCACTAAGACTTCTGCTGTTCCCGCAACAGAACCCCAGAATTTGCTTATTCCCTTTCCATCACCCCAGTATCTCTTTAGACATAATGCCCTTCAACCTTTGACCTTTTCTCAGTGTAAGACCCTATTACCTCAACGTTCAGGGCTCTCTTTTATTGCTGTGAAGACTCTAGTTCCTCCTAATAAAGGATCCTGTGAGCTGAGCCCTGATGTCTCAGAGTCTGAATAACTCATCTGTTGTCTGCAGGTGTTCACATCTGTTCACAGCCTTCTCTATGCAGATGTTCATGTCTGTTTACAGTCATAAAGACAAAACTCCAAGGATTACACACACACACACACACACACACACACACACACACACACACACACACAGTTATATAAATTCATTGAAGTTTCAGGTACAAAATGAATATGAAAGCCGGGCATTGGTGGCTCACACCTTTAATCCCAGCACTCAGGAGGCAGAGGCAGGAGGATCTTTGAGTTTGAGGCCAGCCTGGTCTACAGAGCGAGTTCCAGGACAGCTTCCAAAGCTACAGAGAAACCCTGTCTAGAAAAATAAAATGAATATCCAAATATCTGTGGTGATTTTGTATATCAATAAAGTTACACAAGAGGGAAATTTAGAAAACAATCATATTTGCATCAGTGACAGCAAAAAAAAAAAAACTTAAAAGTTCTTCAAAAGGCAGAGGATATGTGCATCAAAAGTCATGAAGCATCGATGAAGAAAATTAAAAACCAAAACACAGATTTATTAAAAATATCTTAGGTTCAAAAGTAAAAGCAATTCATATTGCCAAAATGTCCTGGCTACCATCAACCTGTTGTGGTATATTCATTTACACTGTGTGAAGATGTGTCATTGTGATTGGGTTAATAAAAAAACTAAAGCTAGGCAGGAGGTATAGTCGGGATTTCTGAACAGAGAAAGCCAGACAGGGAATGACCAGGATGGGCAAAATGGAGATGAGGTAATAGTTGTGTGAGAGAATGTAGATTTAAAAATATGGGCTAATTTAAGTTATAAAAGCTAAGCTAAGGCCAAGCTTTCATAATTGATAATAAATCTCTGTGTTGTGTTTTGTAAGCTAGCATCCCCAAAAAAGAAGTCCATTTACACCAACCATCTCCATACATTCCATACAACAAAGAACTTCAACAGAAAAAAAGAATAAGAAGGTCCCAATTTAAATCTCATTGTTCCCTTGATCAACATCATAGTGCATCCTAGCATACCCACACTGGGACAGAGTAGGGCGGAGGGAGCCCCTTCTCAGGGCCTCTTTCCCATCCACAACAGGAGGTCAGTGATGGACAATGTCAAACAGTACTTTCCACTTCTGGGAAAGCATGGCATTGAAGGAATCTTGCCAGATTTGATAAGCACCTGTGACTCAATCATACTCCTGACACCATTCGGTGTGCTCCGGTTTGCCATACATGGGTGACTGGAACAATTTGCTCCTGCTCCTGCTCCTGCACCAATGATACCCTTAGAAATGGCTAATGTGTGCCCTGTGGTGA